GTTCTAGATAAGTCCGGGGGAGATTTTCTTACGCCTCAATCACGCCTGCCCTTCTATACTTCCTCCATGTGATGGAATTCCGTTTTACTCCGATCTATCAGCACTCTCGTAACTACCTTAGCGACTTCGGTATTTCATTTAATGTATGATAATTTTGGAAATCTCATCAACTTGCCCCATCAATATTCTCCACAATATGCTTGTGGCTTTACAGTGTCGTAAGAAACGGATGGATGCATGTTTCGGCCTTCGCTGGTGTCAGCACCAACGCCCAAAAGATTTGAGGGTACGCGCGGAGAGGATACAGTTAAGAAGATTTCGAGTTCATTTAGTGATAACATTTCCCTAGTTAGATTCCTCATAGCTCAACGTCAATATAATTCCCAAACTATTCATTATTCGCTCCTCTGTTGGAACCCTGAGCTGGTTTCTATGAAAACCCATCGCTTCCATTTAAGAGAACACAAATCCCAGACCAGGCTTATGACGGCTTTCTCACAGGCGAAGTGTAGGTATATATATAAGTGCGAACGGGTGGTAAGGATTCTAAGCTCGATGAGTCTAACTACTAAATATGGTTTTTCTGAAACCTCTCTATACGAGGATTTAAGAATAAATTATAACTTCTCATGGAAATATATATTCGGAATTGCTGAGACAATCAAGTAGTCAGTTAGCATCAAAACTCGCAGCTGGAAAAATAGCGAGATCAAAAGTCAGATTCAACATAAGATTCCTTAGCTTAAAAACCTCCAAAATAGTTCTCTTAGCCACTTCACTGCTCTCTTTAAAATAAATCGTCGACTAATAAGCAAAATGAAATACTTGATCATTTTGGTTCACCCTTTTGCTTCTTTGGAGCCAGGTCCCATAAGCATCGAAAGAGATAGGTGATGGATTGGCAATAAAAGGACGTAGCTACGGAATTATCGATTTCATTTAAAGAAGGGAAGCAAGGTTATTTTTTCATCAGGCTTTGAGAACGGCCAAAGAGTATGCATTATTTGTTTTTATTTTTCTTTTTTGTTTTTGACGCTTAAGCGATTTTCGGCTGAGCTCCTCCTCCAATCTGTGGTGTTTCTATTGATGTATTCCAAACTGACGAAGTTTTCTTATGAAGAGTTTTTATTTTCATGACAGAAAAAGGCGTTGCATTGACAACAAGTGCAGGGAATTTGGTGTACGTACTTAGACAGTTGGATTACGTATGCATGTACTAGCATAAGGGAGGTCATGGATTCGAAACTTGGCCAGACCAACACCCAAAATTATAGAAAAAGCTCTTAATAAAATAATTCAGCCATTCCAATATGAAAACGATTAGCCCAATAAAAAATCTTTCTTCTTTAGATCCAGAGATCTATGTCGAGTTATCACCGTACTCTGTAAAGTAACGATTTCTTGCAGGGTACGAAAACACTTTCATTGTAAACAACTTGTAATTTTAATGAGGGTGAAGCGTTACATCCGCCAGCAAGCCAGCCATCGGCCTTACCATATAGTTGCGCAGCCAATCACTCAGCTCAGCTCGGCTCTTGAGAAGCTTTCACTGCATTTACTTAGCAGGGCAACGGCATAATAAGCATGCAGCAATTTTTTTTTTTTTTTTGCTACAACCTTATGTACATATATATATACCATTGAAAGGTATGAAAAGTAAAAGTGGAACCGTAATTAATAATAAAATTTTGATTAATTTACAAAAATGGGAAAATGCAATTTATTCACTTTTCAATGTAATTAAAAGTGAATTGTAAAATGTTTGGAATTTCAGTGGAACCTTAACTTGCAACGGATGAAAGAAAGATAGTAGATGAAAAAAAATAATATGAATATGTTTAAAGATAAAGATAAAGATAAAGATAAAGATAAAGATAAAGATAAAGATAAAGATAAAGATAAAGATAAAGGTAAAGATAAAGATAAATATCTCACAACAACAACAACCCAACTTCAGTCCACCCCAATCTTGTTGATTGGAAACCACTCGCCGTCTTTACCTCAATTCAAAGTGAAACTTCAAAAACCATCAAATAAAATTGAGAATATCAGTTAATAAATTACCAGTTTCGATCTAAACACTTCATCACAATCCATTACATTCCATTCATTACAAGCACACATGCTATATAACCACAACTTTTACCGTCATTTTAACGCCAACGAAGTACTTAGAAATACAAAGAATGCAATGGGCGCAGACCGTGAAAGAGTAAAAAAGAGAAGAAAAAAAAAGCGCATCAAATACCGATAATGGCAGACAACGTTTCCCCAAGATACTTTTTATTTCTTTTACAATATTTTTCCTACTTTATTTATTTCTTTTTTCCCTCACTCATTTCACTTAACCACACAAGTGAAACCAACCTGCTGCTGTTAGCTGCTGCTCCGGCTGGTGAACGTGCGAGCCATAACGACGAGTACCTGTCTGTATGTCTGTCTGTCTGTCTGTCTCTGATAATGTCGGCTAATGCCTGCCCACCCAGTCGTGCGACTCACTCAGCAGCCATCCAGCCTGCCGGCCAGCTAGCCCAGCTCGGTGCAGCAGTAACGGTGATTGGTGTTGATATTGCTGTTGGTGATTGGTGTTTGGATTTTGGTGTTTGGTGCTTGGTGCTTGGTGCTTGGTGCTTGGTGTTTGATGCCGGTAACGGCGTTCAGTGACGGTGAGATTACTGAAATGGGTTGGTAACGCTTGATCGGTTGGTATGTATGGGCAAACATACATACATCTGCCTGTATTAGTTGTTATTTATGCTTGATTGACGCATTTCTCTTTTCATTGAACGTTTTTTATTTGTATTTTGTTTTTGCATTCTTTCATTTCGTTTTTCATACGGTTGCGGTGTCGTTTGTAATAAGATTTTTTTACATTATTTCTTTCTGTAAGTATAAGTGAATGTAATTTGTATGTTTGTATGCATGCCGGTTGCGCGTTTACTTTCGGTTTGATTTGCTGTAACCCACATATGCTTAGTTTGATGAATTGTTGGCCATAAAACAGTCGGATAATATCTTGTATCTTGTATCTTTTATGCATTGACTTTTGATTGTCGCATTTTCTTTGAGGCAGGTAAGAAGCTGTGGAAAGAAAATCACTTGTGGCTCCGCACCTCTGAAGGAATGAGAAGATCGATGCTTTTACGAGTTTGGTCTGTTCTCGTCAGGGGAAGACTTTACTTCTTGCGGAGTATCTTAGGGACATGCTTTAATTGGTATCTATTCACCGATCGCCAATTAGAGACAGGAAGCAAAATCAATTCCTTCCTCAACTCTGATCTGTTCGGACTAACAAACCAGCCTAGATGGTGTTTCTTATTTCAGCTAGCTATGGCTGCTGCAATAGTCTAGTGGTTAGCACTGCTTACTATCTTTCGGAAAACCATGGCCGAGTCCTGGTTCGATCAACATCAGACAACAAATTAATTTTTCTATTAGCGATCGCCTCTCGGCAGGAAATGGCAAGCCCTCCGAGTGTATTTCTCACATGAAAGTCGAAGCTCCACATAAAAATCCAACGCCCGTTTCGATGCGGCTTAAAATAAAATGAAGGTTCTTCCACTTGTTGGGAAAACATCGAGATGTCAACAATAAAATGAGGGGGAGCTTCAGCCAATTATGACATACATATATTATATATTATATATGTCGCTATTGCTCATATTAAGAGAATTATAAACGCTCAGCCTCGCCTTCATACTCTCGAAGATTCCTAAAACTGACTAAACGTCCAAGAGACATGTAGATATTGCTCTTTATTCGTTGAGAAAAAACTTTATCTTCCAATTGTCCACTGGGCCGAAAGTAACATCTCTTTGTAGGATCCATTCGGCTGTCAATGTAATTGGTGTTTTTGCAGGTTCCTAGGTAGGCTGAATGTCCTGTTCGTTTGTATAATGACAGGGGATATATCGTCCTATCCTCGCTCACTACCAGACTCGCTCAGTTTGCTGTCAAATAGCTCTTCTAGGCGATTATGTCTTCCATCTTTGAGATCGTGTTTCTCCATAATAATGTGTAGCCTTTCGTTTAGTGTTGAAAAGTTCGGAGAATTCCTACAAATCCGGTTCTGATTGAGCTTTTGGTGTTATTCAGTTTCAGTCCATTTGCGTCCTATCTATAAGACGAACAGATATTTTCCATGACTTTATGTGTCGTAAATATCTCGTGATCCACCAGATCTGAAGTCGATTGGTTCGTTAATCGTGGGTAGTCTCTCTAAGAATGCCTCTTGCGCTGTAAATGAGCCAATTAGAGAAACATTACCGATGTATTCTCTATTTGACCAGACCGTTCGTCAATAGCGCTTCTGTTTGGTTCCGTTATATGAAAGTTACGGTCTTCCAATCTTAAACATCTTCTCAATGGACTCCGCGTCCTGCACTTTTACGGTCAGGCTCTGCTGCTAACAGCAAATGCATTTCGCTGGCTTTACAACTCAACTCTCGCTTCTCACAGGACGTTTTGATTGCGACTGAATCGCAGCGTTAAAGCTAGAACTTTAAACTCTACGCCTCAGCATTCCTCTCGATATCGATTGGATGGAGCAGTTTTCCTGGTTGTTTCCGGCAGTGCGAAGTGAGTAACTTTTAGCTCTCCTGGAGGTTGAGTACGTTAGCGTCAACATGACCGTGATTCGAACCAGCTGTTGGATATCGGAGATTCATAGGTCTGAAGATATATTTCTAGCCAACAATTTTATTTGATAGGGTCTCTAAATCTAATAGTACATCCTGATGCCAACTTTTCTAGTTTAACCGTTCTATTTATAATCTGTGTGACGGTAGATCTTCTATATTCCGACCGATATTTCGACCGAAATACAAGAAACTCCCTTTTCCATTCCGTTGAAGGAGACCTTTAAGTACATTGATCCTCAGGCAGTTAATCCTTAACGCTGTTGGTTTTTGAAGGAAATCCAGTACCCTCTCTTTGCTATTATTATTATTTATTTATTCCATTATTTTCTAAAAATATCTCTCTTCCTCTCTCTATTTCAGATAAATATCATCGTTCATTTGGTCCTCATCGCTAGCATCAGTCAATCGGGTGACGCTTTTGGTTTCGACTCTGCTAACTCATGCAGCACACAAGCATCGAAGCTCTCACGGCGTGGACGAGCACAAATGCTCGCCACCATACCATGTGATCTAACGCGACAGGCGTACTGTCATCTACCCGGCTCGGCATATCCCTGGCATGCGGTCAGACGTTTCGTACACGAGAATCACGGTCTAATGAAACGTATGTACGGAGATGTACGACATATCTCGGTGCTACGTGATGAGATACTCAACAATGAGATCGATGTGGATGATGTTGAGGTGGCCGCGGAACGTTATTCGAAAGATCCGCATAGAGCAAGGGCAGCTAAGTACATGCATGAGCAGCAGCGCGAAGACGTTGGTGGCATTAAGAGCAACGACGTAGTAATGGAACCACACTTCCGACCAGTTTCAACGACCACAACAACGACAGGCGCGCCAGATGTGGACAAAGAGGAAAAAGTAGCGACGACTAGCGCAGCATTGGAGGCCAAAATGGAGGTGGAAGCTGGTTCTCAACCAGCAAAGACGCTCAGACGTAGAACAAATGTAAACGCGAATGGTGGGGGACATAGAAGGCGAGTTAATGTCTATGTTAATCGCAATCGACCGACGCACTCGTCTTTACGACGGCGTACAACAACAACAACGACCACAACTACAGAAGAACCTAAGTCGCTGCCAGAGGAACAGACAAGTGTGGTGGTCTTACATGAAGAGACTATATTCGAGATTCCTGAGGATGATGGAAATCTCGCCTCGAATAGTGTCTATGAGATACCCACATCGCCTGAGGCGGCCATATTACATATGGGTGACAATATACAAGTCATTGAATCACCACAACTCGGCCAATTGCAGAAACCCTTGACGACGGAAACAAATGCATCGGAGACGGCCACCATTTCAACCACTTTGAAAGTGGTATCCACGCCTGCGACCAAAATGCGCCCATCCCATGATGGAGTGCCCGACTCACCAGTACCAGTAGCACCCACACCGCTACAGCAAAAACTGCAACCACAAGCGGAACGTCAACGACCTGGACCACAAAAGCTAAAATTGCAACAAGTGACTAAGCCACAGCCAACATTTGATACGAGCGGACCGAAAGAAAGCTCTCCATTGTTAAATTCGAAACCAACCAACGAAAGTGAACGTCCACAAAGCGCCACAGCGCAAGCACCTGTGGATGGTGACGGCACAAGCACACAGCCACTGAAAGTAACGCAGGGCGCCACAGCGAATGATGACGACACGGACGTTACAACGGACGAAAGTAATGGTGGTGCGACACTAACAAACATCGGCGCGAACAATGACGAAACGGACGCCACAGTGACTGTGTCAGCATCAGCGCAAACGACCACAGCTTCAACAACACACAATTCCCAACTGAAATATGAACACAACACAAGCCAGGCAAAAGACGATGATGAAAATAAAGCCGACTTGTCGGCTACTACGACAAGCGGTGCGCATACAGCATCTACTACAGGCGCCACGAAACTCACATCAACACAAGCCGAATTGTATTCGGCCGCTAAGACTACCTACACGCCAAATGTTGCAGCAACCGGCGTCGCCGAGGGCGCACCGTCAGCGCCGCAGCGTATTGAGTTGTTTACCGGTGAGAAAATCCGAAGACCACAACAGACGGCGCAACAAGCTCCGTCAGCGCCAGCACAGACAACACCAGTAAGCGCGGCTGCGGCTGCGTCCACGAAACCAGTACTACGCGATGGCCAACTATATCAAGATGCTCTCAAGCAAGAGGTGAAACCGAGCGCCAATATGCGCGGCATGTAAGTATTAAACGCGGTGATAGATGGCATTAGAAGGCTATTAATGTTGTCTGGCGTGGAGTAAATTGAATTGTACGAGAGGGGTTCAAAAAGTTAGGGAATTGAATATCGTAAAAGTATATATGTAGTTACACAGAGAACTTCTGTGTACTTTTCGAGGACTCTGACTTTATAAGACGAACTCGTTACTCCTCAACCGATTTCCTCTGAACTTCTTGAGCTCCTCGCGTGCAGAATCCATCCAAAAATGTAAATATTGAGTATAAACACATACTTTCTTCTCTTCCAGCAACGCGTGCCCGGTGAAGGAAGAGGTGGTCGCACCATTTTGGGCCAATAACACACGCGGCGAAGTGCTCGCCTTGCTCAATCTCTATCCCTTCGAACAGTATGTGCATTGGGAGAAATGCACGCACGAGCATCGTCAAATGTACTGTCGAGAGGGTTGCCGTTGTGAGCAGCAGTACCGTCTACATCGCCTGCTCGCATACGATCCACATAATGAATGTCGCGGCATTTTTTCGGATTGGTTTCGTTTTCCTTCGTGTTGCATTTGCAAGTGTTATGGCATACCGATGGAGTTCCGTGCCACATCTCGTAGTCCACGTTCAGAGCGTATGGATGAGGAGTTTGAAACGGTAGCGGAGGAAACATACTTTGATGATAGTTTCGATGATAGTGGCGATGATGTTAATGACATAAAGCAGTCAGCGGAGTCTATGGAATCAGTAGATACGCAACAATCCCAACATCCAATTGATGTGGCGGAACAATTGGTGCGGCAGGCGATCTATGAACATGCTACAGAGGATTGGTATCGACCGAAGGATGAATTCGACTTCTACGAGGGTTAAAACAGGGTTGGGAAGTTGGTGGTGTGGGCACAAATGGGGGCTCGTTGGCTAATTTAATTATAATTTTATTTGCAGTGAATCATATTACGGGGTTTTACTAAATCATGCTTTGGAACCGAAACCAAAAGCTATTAAAATCAAATCTAAACTTATCTCTGAAGTTGGGACTGAATTTAACTAGCGAAGAGGCTGCTTTCAGAGCGAATCGGCAGGCATAAGCGGGATCAACCGAATATTGACAACTTTTTACTAGCGCTCGCCGCTGGAACTTTGAATGATTTAAGGAGAGAGATTCGGTGGTTGCGTGTCAGAAACACTGAAACTTGTTTCTCGAAATATATTTCGAGTTTTATGTGTGCCAAGATAGGTTCTTAGCGCTTAAACTGATTCTATCGAAAGATTCGAAGTCTGAATCTTATATAAAGTCCCGTCCGATGCTTTCCATTTTTCTTGACATTCCAAATCGTATTAATTCTATTTGTACGACAAAAACTAAAAGTAAAACGAGTAGCTTTCCTGTTACGTTAGTTTAGGCAGAGAAAGATACGCTTGCAGGCCATTAAAAAGGAAATTCTTGACCGCCTTAATATCTAGCTTGTTGGCTGCTTCTAATTATATGAGCTGGGAATCCGATGGATGACTGACAAGTGCCGCTAGTGATCCCAAACAGAAGCAGAGACGGTATTTTCATGTCTCACTCATGCCAGCCACTTGACATTTCCTATAAGTATCACTGTTAATAATACCCATTCTGGCAATATGTATCGTCTATAGGTTTCGATCCTTTCCTGTTGCTTCTTCGAGATCACATAAGCAAAAATTGGGTTATTCGCCTTTACTGCCCATGCGCATGATCTTGGCATATTCTACTCCGATTCTGTTCCCTCCCTACTGTTCAGACATAAATTTCATTGTGCAGTATCTCCGGTATCTTTCCGGATCATTCGCCTAACGAAGGACTCTCTTCCATCTGCAGTTCCACTTTGAGTTGGAATTTCGGCGCGCTCTATTTTCTCATTGAGATCGAATTAGTACTCTAGAACTGCCTCTCTCTATCTACGCGCTCTTTCTCTCAATTTCACTCTCTCTCTCTCATTAGCTTTCGCTCTCAATCGATCTCTCTCGCTTTTCCTCTCACACTGTCTTTCGTTCTCTCTCCCGATCTCTCGCTTTTTTTTCATTCTTCCTCTCAATCACTCTCGCTATCTCTTTCGATCACTCTCTCTCGCTCTCGCACTCTCTCTCTCTCTCTCTAGTTTCTTTTCTCACTGGTAAGCCACGAAATATGATTCCTTAAAAAAATTATGTACTGTGCTTTTTTATAAAAAAAAAATTGTTTTCTTTATTCTTACTTTAGTTTCATTTCTAAAAATATTTTTTAATTATATTATTTAGATAATGTCTAATTTTATTCGTATTGAATTTGTAAGCAAATGCACTTTTGTTATAACTAGTCGAAATTCATATTGTTAATGTTTTGTAAAAAAAAAAAATTATATTAATTTAATTCTATTTTAAAAATGAATTTAAACTAAAAATTAAATTTAAATTAATTTTAAAACACGATAAGGCATTATATCCATTGTAAATATAGTTTTGCGATATAATGCTGAGTTCTACGAACTCTTTTATTTACCACGAGCGAATGTACCTTGAATACTTAACGTAGAAAAGCGCGCGCACGTACATATATATATACATATATACATGCATATGTACACGTATGTAAATATGTAGTGCGTTATACGTATATGAATCTTATGAGAAACATTTATTGAATGCGCTTTTTACTTAAGTTTAGTTATATGTATGTAAATATGTATTGTATATAAATAAAAATAATAATAAATTAATTAAATAATAAATAAATAAATTATATAATATATAAATAAATAAAATTATTTTATAAAAAATTTAAAATCTTTAGACTAAGAGTTGAAAAATTCTTTTATTTAAGTTTTAGAATTTCGAAAAATGCAGATTTCATATTTTTTATTATTTTTAAAATTAAAATAAATAAATAAATAAATATATGTAATAAATTATGTATTAGTGTTGAAATATATGTACCATATTTATCTTCAAATAAATAATAAATACTTTTGTGGCCATAAAGCATTTTTAGTAATAAAATTCACCAAAATTTATGCAAATAAGAATAAAGAATTATTAACTAAATAATAAAAAGGTAAGTAATAATATTACTATAATTTAATTTTACTTAACTTTTATTAAAAAAAACCAAGAGGAACATTTATAAAAAAAAAACTGAAAATAATTTATATATTTTTGCTTTTTTTTTAATTACTTTTAAGAAAAACCACAAGTGTTTCCATTGCAAAAAGTAATCATTTTTATTCATTATAATTCATTTGTAAAATAAGTAGTATATGTATATGTATGTATGCATGTGTAGTATGCATTTATGTATATATAATATAATATTATCGAATAACTTCATTGTCTCTTACGTGCGTTTGTAAAAATTCTTAAAATATTATAACTTTATCGTTTGACATTACAAAAACACATTTGACATTAAAGAAATTTTTCACATAACCTAAAACATTTCGTCATTATTTTAAACAAATACTCTTTTATATTATGTACATATACATAAGCTAACTAATTATGCACTAGTTATTGTTGTTATTTTTGTATTTAATACATTTTAATGGTCATTTCATAATATTAAACAAACATATTTTTTTTGCAGTGTATAAATCCTTATTTTTATAAAGTTTAATTAAGTTTTTTTATTCTTTCACATGTACATATATTTGTTAATGTATTAGCTTTCTAAATATGTATATATATGTTTTATGTTTTATTTTTTTGATTGCGTAATCAAGTATTTCAATAATTTGTTAACTTTTTAAGGCAACACGTTTCTGCTTCACACACTCTAATTATCGATTTATTAGGAAAATAACTGTATATGTTTGTTTTTACTTTGATCTTTTTGTTTTAAATCAACGAATTAATATTGTATAATTGACGCATAGAAAAAAATCAATTATTTTATTAAAATAAAAATGAATGATATTAGTAATGTGTAAAAGATATAAAAAAAAATTAAATTAAATTAAATAAAAATATAATAATAAATTAAATAATAATAATGTTTGCAAAAACTAAATTAAAGAAAAGGCCACATTTTCGTACAAATTTAAATTAAAAATCATCTTCAGTTTTCTCAAAAATTTTTATTTTAATACTTTTTTATTAAACTAATTACTTTTTTTGATGCGCTGAATAACTTTTTAGCAACATTTCCTATATTGTGAACCAAATTTTTTCTTAATTTTGTTAATTATTTAAATTTTTTCGAAATTTATTTTAAAGGTAGAATTTACACTTTCAGTCAAAACTGTTTTTATATATTTATTTTTATTGCTATTTTTTGTTTTTGATGGAAATTCAAATATAATAAAATTTTAAAAATTTATCTTATTTATCTTCTATACGGGATCTAATTATTTTTCAGAAAACCTAAGCAAAACATATATTTTTTACTTCCCGTTGATTTAAGCGGTACCTCGTGCAAAAAAAAAATAATGATTCATGTAAAGAAATTAACTAATAAGTAATAAAAATAATATTAATAAAAATCATAATAATAAACTAATTGTCCGAAATAAACAATTATTTTAATATACTAATTTTTTATAATTAATTTTTAATTTTACAAAAGTAATAAGCAAAATAAATAAATTAAAAAAAATTAAAATTAAAAAAAATTAAAATTAAAAAAAAATTAAAATTAAAAAAAAATTAAAATTAAAAAATAAATTAAAGTTAAACAAAAGTTAAAATAAAATTTATATTTTACATTTATATTTTAATAAAAAGAAAATAATTTTAAACTAATCGGCCAAAAATTCAAATACTTATAAACAATACTTTTTTATATTATTCTTGATTTTTAAGCTCAGCATATAAATAGCTTCTTACCTATAAAATTATATTTAGCGGTTTCTGATTTGATTTATTGTTGTAAAAATATTAATATGTTTTGAAATGTTTTGCTTTCTAGTAATAAATTGAAAATGCAGAATTGTTAGAATAATTTTTGATAAAAAAAAACAAGAACACACTTTTTGGAAAGAAAAAAATTGAAATAAATAAGAATTAAAAAAAATAATAAATACAAATAATAATAAATAATAATTAAAAATAGTAGTAATAATCAAAAATGATAATAACAATAATAAACAATAATAATTATTATAAGCAATAATACTAATTATAAATAATAATAATAATTGAAAAAATAATAATATAAAAAATATAATAATAACTAAAAACAATTACAATAACCAAAAATAATAATAATAATAAAAAATTATATTAATTATAAATTATAATTACAATTGAAAAAATAATAACAGTCAAAAATAATAATACTTAAGAATAACAATAATAAATAAAAATAATAGTAATAACTTGAAATGATAATAGCAATAATAAATAATAATAATTATTGCAAACAATAATAATAATTATAAATAATAATAATAATAATAATAGAAAAAATAATAATATAAAAATTATAATAATAACTAAAAACAATAACAATAACTAAAAATAATAATAATAAAAAATAATAATAATAAAAAATAATAATAATAAAAAATAATATTAATTATATATAATAATTATAATTGAAAAAATAATAATAATAAAAATTTATAAGAATAATTAAAAATAATAATAATAATTATAAATAATTATATTAAAAAAAAAATAATAGTTAAAAAAATAATACCAGTAATGGTTAAAAATAAAAATTAATTCAAATTCATTAATAATTAAGAAAAGTTAATACTTAAAAACAAAATTAAAAAAAAAAAATTTAAAAATAGTAACAGTTAAAAATAAAATAAAAATAAAATTTAATTCAAGAATATTAGTAATTAAAAAAAATCAATAATCAATATAATTAATAATTCCAAAAATTTATATCTAAACAAAAACTAAAACATATAATAGTTACAAAAATCTAAAGAGAAAAACATTTACCAAATAAATAGTTGAAATTATTACAAAAAAAAAATATATTCAATAACTGAGTGAAATTAAATATGAACAATAAATAATAAAAGTAAATTTTAATGGAGTTAAAACTAATGTTTAGCAGAAAAAAAACAATTTTATTTAAAATGTGAATAATAATTTCAAGTTAATTTCTTTTCAATCAAAATCATTTAAAAATATGTTTCTTTTTTTAAATAATTTTGAATATACTAAACCCTACAGCGTGGAAAATTAATTATATTTTTTTCAAATAAATAAATAATAACTATGTTGCCTATGTCAGCCAACTATTTTCTTCGATTTTAGGGCCCAAAAAATATATTGCTGAAAAATACATAAATACGAAATTCAAATTCTTTTCGATTTAAAATTATTTATTGTAAATTATAAAGGTTATGCATACAATTTTTGGACACTGCATTTACAAAACAATTCAAAATTTTAGCCAACTAAGAGAGAAGTATGTTTTATAGAATTGCTATAAACAAAAATTTAAATTTTAGCGTTAAATAAAGCGTTAAAACGAGCAGAAAAAGTTTTAACGCATATGCATACGTAAATAATAATAATTAATAATAATTTCATATGCATACAAGCATACATATGTATATGTATATCTGCTCGATTTCTTACATTATATGTATATTGTCCATATATTTAAAAGTTTAAATGATTAAAAATATATATTATGCTTGTTATTATTTACCCTGTAACCGTGTTAAATTATTGTATATAAGCATACTTTAAGGAGCAAACGAAAAACGATTTAAAATTTTTGTTAGGCTTGGCCTGCACAAATTTTTGCTTAATACTATAAAAATAATGTTTTTTTCTTTGTTTGTAAATATATAACAATTTAAAACTATTGTTTTCGTTGCTAACATATCTGTATGTATGATAAGTATTTTACATTCTCGTAGAAGTAATAATAATATGAATTTTCGCGGTTAAGTGCAGAAGTTAAGTGAAAGGTGTAGAAGCGCGAAAAAAAAATTTGTTTTGGGAAAAATAAATAGTAATACAGCAGTTTTAGTAGACGCAAATTTTAGTTTTTTTTAATAGTAGTAATAATGATAAAAAAGGAAGAATACTTTGCATACTTCCAAGCGCAAATTTTTGGCGCTTAAGAAAATTAAACAAAAAAGTTTTTAAATAAAAACTAAAAAATACTAATAAAATATTTAAAGAAAATAAAAAATGACAATGAAATATTGATGAGAAAAAACAACAAAAAAATTTAAGAATAATAGAAATAAAATATAAAACTAAATTAAAAAAAAATATACATATATATAAAATATATATTTATTAAAAAGAAAAAAACAAAAACTTATAAAGAAGTCAAAAAATTTGAATTAAAAAAATAATTAAAATTAAAAAAGCAATTAAATTAAATAAAAAAAAAACAATTAAATTAAAAAAATAAAAAAACAATTAAGTAAAAAAATACAATTAAATTAAAAATAAAAATAAAAAAAACAATTAAATTAAAAAGAACAATTAAATTAAAAAAAAAAACAAATAAATTAAAAAATAAAAATAAAAAAAACAACTAAAATAAACAAATAAACAAAATACGTTTTATAAGCAATTACACTAAGTCAGCAGCCAATTAAGAAAAAATTTAAATATTTTTCTAATACAGCATTTATAAATGCCAAATGAGTGTACTGTTTGTACACATTACTAGTTAAATAACTAATAAAAGCTTAAAGCAAATCATACTAAGCAAATACGTATTAGATAGTTAAATAATACAAAAGTAATTAGAAGCCTAAAAAAGTGGACAAGACAAGCACACAAAAAAAAGAAAAGAATAATACATAATTTAATGCGTAAAAGGACGAACAGAAAACAGAGTTGGAAGTAAAAGAGAATACTATATAAGAATAAACGTTAAATATGAGCATAAAAGCTTATAAACGCAAGTAGTTCACAGCTAAATAATTTTCGTGAATTTAAAATAACTTAAAAAAAATATTTTAAAACATAATTATGTTAAAATACGTAGCAACATCTCATTTACTACAAGCAAATCAGTGAAAAACTTCCAATAAAAATGTTATGTGCGTACAATACTACCATAAATTAAATGCAATACAAATGCGAATGTATTGCACCCAAACAGAGTTGCATTAACCGCTCACGGGCACCCACAACAATTTATCTAACTCCTTATCAACAGCATCCTTGATTTGTGTGCACATATGTTTAATGCTAACGCCGGGTATAACAGCTGTGCATAGAGTGAAAAAAAAACGTTAAAAAAAAACAAACAAACAAAATGTGTTTCAACCGCAGCCTACCTGATATGTATTGCTTGTAATCCGCTTCCAACTTTAATGCGCGTTCATACATTTCCTTTGCCGCCTTCGCCGATATCTTATCAATGCCAAAATCACGTATTTCACGTATTTGTTTAGCCGATTTGAAGCGCAAGAGTAAGACGATTGGATAGATTTGTAAGCGCTGTAGACGTTCAACAGCCGAAGGGGAAATGTCTAAAATGCAATGGCGACGATCCTACAAGAGATGAAAAAAAACATTTATATTAATATATTATGTATTATAAAGCATGCATAGCAAATTCCATAGTCAAACGCGTTCTATTTTTCACCTCTGAACACTTTTATAAGTAATTACATACATATCTAGCATAATTTTCTATTTTCACAACTCACATTCTTGCATGCATTATTTATATTCTCCACTGTGGTGCATTCAAACTTATTACCACGCCGACGATAGTCAACGAAAATATTCTCCTGTAGACCCTCTTCCATGGCATTCTGTGAGCAATCCATTGTAGTTACTTCACACATTTTAAATAAATTCGAAAAATCAATTGTCAAACGTTGCATAACACACTCCGATAAGGGACCAATAATAAGCACCGGACGACGCACAGGTGCTATTCAAAAAATTATAGAAAATTTATAAAATTCACCAAAAAAAAAAATATTAATAAAATTTTATAAAATATTGTATACGCACAATCCAATCGCTCCACACGCTGATAACTTAATATGCCGCCATCATCATTCAATATCCCGGAGTCGGGAAAGAAACTCAGCTGTGTATTGCTGAAACTGGCAATTTCGGTGGAGTCACGCGATGAGCTACGCTGGTGCTTCTTTCGACGAAAAAACGAACGACGCGCCGATGTGCTGCCTCGACGGGCAGTGCCGCCCTCGCAATCGACTACTTCGCCGGCGCGCAGCTCCTCCTCAACTCTAAAAATGAAGTAAACATATTTAAAAAATATATAAAAAAAAAAAAAACAGAATAAAAAATTATAAAAAACAAAAACAAAGAATAAAAAATATATAAAAAAACAAAGAATAAAATATATATGAAATATATGAAAAATATAAACAAATATAAAAATATAAACAAAAATTAGATCAAAGAAATAGACTAATATTAATTAAAAAAATTTAAAAAGCAAAAACGAAAAAAAGTGAAATTTTCCAATAAATTAAAAAAAAGAAAATAAGTTGAAAAAATGTTAGTTAAAAAAATGATTTAAAAATAATTTAAGAATAAAATAAAAAATATATGTAAAAACAACTTTTTTACAATAAAATAAAAAAAAATTAAAAACAAAAACAAAACGAAAATAAAAACCACAAATTGAATTTAAAATTTAAATAAATATAATTGAAAATTAAAATTAAAATAACAAAAAAATAACAAGATTATTAAAAAAAATAGATAAAAAAAATAAAAATAAAAAATCAAAAAAAAATTAAAAATAAAAAAAATAAAAATAAAAAAAAATAAAAATAAAAAAATATAAAAAAAAAATAAAAAATCAAAAAAAAAAATAAAAAATAAAAAATCAAAAAAAAAAAATAAACAAATAAATACTTAAATCAAAATAAAATCAAAAATAAGAGTAAAAATTTATTAAAAAAAAGATTAAGGTAAAAAATTAGAAAATACGTAAAAAAAAATTAATAAAAACTTAAAAAGACAAGAAACAAATGAAACATAAAATAAAGAATAAAATAAGAAATGATAAAAATTAAACAAAAAACATATAAATAAAAAACTTGGAATTTAACAAAAAAATTCAAATAAAATTATTTTAAAAACAAATAAAAATTTAATTAAAAAAAAATTAAAAAAATAAGCAAAAACATATTGAAATAAAAAAACTGAAAAAAAAAATTAATTTAATACAAGCTAAAAATTAAAAACACTACAATAAAAAATAAGTCTTAAAATTTGAAATTAAACAAAAAATGCAAATGCAAATAAAATTAATTTAAAAACAAATTTAAATTAAATTAAAAAAAGTTTAAAAAATGAAAAAAAAAATTTAATTGAAAATTGAAATTATAAAATAGAATTTAAAAACATTAATACCAACTGAAAATTCCAAAAAAAAAAAACAACAACAAAAAAGCAAATATTAAAATAAAAGCCCATACTTCATCTGGCTTGGTATAATGCCGCACTCCTTCCGATGTCCCTTCGCATCCAATTTCCATGCGCGCCACAACCCGAATGTGCCATTAAAAACCGTGTTGTCCACATAGAGCACTTCATCCTTGACAAAACGCAAGTCGCCATCATTCAACTCACCGATACGATCGAAGCCGACACGTATATAAAAAGAATCACCGGTTTTGTCTTTAATTTGCTTTAATTCTGTAAAGAGAAAATACAATTAATATTCTCATTTGCGACTTTTAATCTTGGTATATCTTCTTTACTACACACTTTTCAATTTATTCTGCACCAACAGCGTCACAGTGTCCGTCAACTTGGATATCTCATTTGCCGCCTGCTCGGCCGTAACACAACGCAAATCCACGCCATTATATTCCAATATTTGATCACCTTTGCGTATGCCCGCGATGTCGGAGGGCGAGCCGGGGTGTACGTCATGCACGAAAATGCCCACCTTATTGCCACCGAATAGTTTAATGCCTAGATTCTTCGATTTATCCATGCAGAGAGTGACATAGCGTGCCTCCTCCTCGTAAACGGTTGAAGTTGTTGACGCTGTCGTGGTTGTTGTAGCTGCTGATGAAGGTAAGTCCTGACTACTACTTATATCCGATTGATTCTCGAGACTATCGGCGAAGCTTTGATCCTTAATCGATTGGGTTGAGAGAAGTGAACTCGATTGTGGCATTATGTTTGACTGTTGTGCCAAAGGATTGCCGCTGGTTGGTGGTGACATGGGTAGTGGTGGTAGTGAGGACATCATTGTGCGCGCCGGTGGACGCGGTGAATTGCGTGGCGTGGGCGAGCCAGAGTGATTAACTGGAGATTCAGTCTCGAGATTATTAGTGCCATCATATTCACCGGAGTGAAATTCTAGAAAAAATAAATGGAAATAACGGAAATAATAAATAAAAAAAAAGAATACGAAAAATTAATTATCTAGAGGATGTGGGATTTTCCTACGCCCTACGCCAAATATATGTACATCTACTCACTTTCCGGATTGTATTGCACCAGCATTGTTATCGAGTTGCCGCACTGACGCAACACATTCGCCGCAATGTCATTTGTAGCCGAACGCATATTTATGCCGCACACTTCTAAGAGTTGATCGCCCACCTGAAGACCAGCACGCGTGGCTATGCTCTTGTCGGCTACAGTCGATACAAAGATGCCGCCACCATTGTTGTTGCATTGTATGGTAATGCCGAGCGATTTATCGCTCTTCTCGATCGTGACTCTTCTAAGGTCTCCAGGGCATAAAAAATCCGACGGCGCATTCGAATTACGCTTACTACCGCCATGACTCAACACTTCTACGTGCACTTGCGGCATTGGTGAACCGCGTCCACTGCCGCCGCCATTCGCTGCCACCGCTGCTATGGCGGAATGATGCATTAACATCGAGGGTGGCGCACCAGACATACTCGACGGTATATTCGGTATACCGCCACAATAGTGATGATCAATGGAACCGGAACTATTCTTTACACCAGCGCTATTCTTACTTGCCACACTCGGATTGGAAGGGATACGCAAACGTTGATGATCTTTTTTGCGTGGAAATGTGCCACCTTCGTAGATGATGCCACCGCCGCCATGACTCCCGTGACCGCCATGGCCACCATGACCACTACCGCCGGGCACTCCGCCGCTATGTGGATGATAGAGCGGATAGTCTTGCACATATGGGTGCGAGTGCATGGGCGCCATAAAGTCCATGTCGAATTTATCCACCGAACTGGTGGGTATGCCAATTGCGCTGCCAGCTGCCGTATCGACGCCGTGTTGGCTCTGTTGTGCGGACGAATGTGCGTGCGGTGTGTGAGAGTGCGGATGCGAGGAGGGCAAAGTGAGCGGACTAGAGTGTCGAATTTGACGCATAGCGTTTATGGAATTTTGTGTGAAAGTGGGAAATAGTTGCGAGTGACGATTGTGCATTGGTGCGGCCATGTTATTCGAATGAAAGAGTACGCTGTTGGCACCAGAGCCCCCGCCGCTGACGCCACCGCCAACACTGGCGCTCATTATGCCCGAGGCAATACTTTCGCTGTCACTTGGATACTTGGAGACATTCTTGTTGGGTACCGGTGCGGCTGCTTGTGGCATAGGCACGCCGCGCTTCTGGTAATGATTCATCACTGCGCATTCGCTGATTGGCGGACTCTTCGCCGACAATATCGAGTCGATTGAGTTCTGCGACTTAATCGATATCATATCCAATGAATTCTGCTGGGTGGTAGAAGAGCTGCGCGCAAAGTTAGGTGGCTGGAGATGCATTGGTGCATAGAGCACAGGATGCGGCTGCGACTTGCTCGAGCTAACGCTGCTCGGTATGCTTACGCCACCGCCCATTACATTACTACCACCACCACCGCCGCCGCCGCCGCCACTCATGCCCGCATTACCACTGTTGAGCATATCAAAGATGTACGGCTTGCGTGGCAAAAACTCTACACCGTTACCGCTATGTATGACCTGCTGCTGCGCCTGCTGGCCACTAGTCTTGTAGAACTCAGTCGGCGTTATGTTGAGCGAATAACGATTCTGATAGTTGTGCACACGCTGATTACCGTATTTATCAGGCACTGGCGGCATTTTCACGCGCATATTCGCGCCCATTATAGGCGCTGGTCGCTGTAACGGCTTTGTAGGTTCGCCCAGCAGGCCCACATTGTCCAATTGTGGCTCTGCGTACACCGAGTGTCTGTAGTTGGCATAAACATTACTGTTATTACTGCTGCCACCATTCACGTTCGGCATACCCGAAGAGATGGGCGAGGGTGTGAAGAGTGCCGATGCGGGTATGGGATTAGAATTGCGATGTGGATTTGTCTTGATGGTATTGCCACCGCCACTAATGCCGTTACGCATATGCGCTTGTGGTTTGGCTTGCGGCGGTAGTGGTGGCGGTTGCTCGTCGGACGTCTCGCGCTCATCGTCTTTATCCACATTTATCGGGCCGGCTGTAAATAGCGCGAGTGGCGGACGCTTTTTCTCACGTTGTTGCACTATAGTGCCAGTGGGATTCTCATGCGTGGCGTTAAGTATATTAGCACGTGGCCAAGTGCCCATACTTTTTGCTGCTGCTTCCTTCTCCTTCTTGCTGCGTTTCCCACGTCGCGGCTTCTCTGACGAATTCTCGCTCAGCACCGAATCGAGTTCGGCGAGCGCATCGTGTTCCTGAGTGAAGTGGTCCACATCGGTGCCGGGTTTAGAGATGTGTATCTTTTTGAATATACTCAACATTTCAGAGAACTTCGAAGGATGCTTCGCGCTTGTCATGCGATGCATGGAGTCAATGGAATCTGTTTGTGCGGACGAGGTGGTCATACGACGTTGACCATCGCCATAACCCATCATATCTTGCACATTTTTCAGTGCAAAGATTGTAATCGCATCGTTGCGTTCATCGTTGAGCAAACCCATTACATCGTCCACGGAATGTATGCCTTCCATGGACTTATTATTGATACTCAACACGCGGTCACCCACATCCAATTCGGGTTCGTAGGCAGCAAGTGAGTTTGGCTCGATTTTCGAAATGAACACGCCTGTGTCCAAGCTCAGACCATGATTCATATTATTCTGCATATTCAGATGCACCGTATAGAAGTGTCGTTTGCTGTGGCGCGTGCGCGATACCAAGAGCTTACAACGTGGCGCGCTGCTACGTATTTCATCCAACACCATGCGCTTTGTCATTGTCTGACAGTCGAGATTGTTCACCTTGCATATGACATCGTTCATTTTGAGTTTACCAAAGGCGGGCGAACTATTAGTGACGCCACATACCAACTGCCGATTATTGCTGTCGTCCAATATAATGCCTATATCACTATCCGAATGATAGTTCAATTCAATATCGAGTAGATCCTCGGCCTCATAAGTGCTCATACGAAAGCTGCGACGTGAAGCACTATCAATATTTTGATTCTCAATTTGTTCCTTCAGCACATCGATCTTCTTTTGCGCTTCATCCTTTTGTTTCTTTATCTTTTCACTGTCACGTATGGCCGACAGCAGATCGGAAATAGCCTTATCACGCTCTTTGCGCAAATTATCGCACAGTGACTTTACCGAGTCACGCTCTTGCACGATTTTCTCACGCTGCGATATGGCCCAGTCGCGTACACCCTTCGCCTGCTCGGCATCCTGTAATGCGCGCTCCACCTCTGAATTGGCCTTCTCGAGACTTTTGCGTAGCTTTTCAACTTCTTTGAAATCATCTTTGCTGTCCGAGAACTCTTTCGACCATGAATTCGACTTGAGCAAGTCGCGCTTTTGCAATTCAGCATTGGCTTGATGTAGCTTATTGATTTCGGCTTGATAGAGCAAATCGTTTTTCTTATAATTCTCGATCTCCTTCTTGGCGGCCGACAAATCGTCGAACATTTTTTGATGCTCGTGCAAGACGTTATCCTTCTCCGAGAGCAACTGTTTTAGCTCCTCATCGATACGATTGCGCTCCACGGTGATGAGAAATACTTTCTTGGACTCTTCGGAGAGTAGCGATTTCAGCTTTTGTATCTCTTTGTCCATTGTGTCCCGCAGTAAATTGAAATTCTCACGCGATTCGCGATAGAAATTACGCTCCTTCTTCACATTATCCAACTCTGCTATGGTTGAGCCGAAACTATTTTTATACTTTTCACGCTCCGCCGCAATAACACTGCGTTCCTTTAGCAAGTCCGCATTACGCTCCTTACACAAATGCAACTCCTCCAGCAACTTTTCGTTTTCCGCGCAACTGCCATCACATTTACCGCCACCACCACCGCCGCCGCCGCGACCATCTCCACCACCACCACCACTACTGTAGTAGTATGAGTTCGCCGCCGAATTTCCCGATTTATTGCCATTCTCATTCTCCAAACGTATCAATTGTCGCTCCAGCTTCGTGTTCTGTTGCTTGAGACGCGCATTCTCCGCCAGCACATCAATAAACTTGTTGCGTTCACTACTCTCCAGCTGTGTCATTGCGCTGACGTATTGCTCCTGATAGTAGGCCACCTGATCGCGCAGCTCTTCACAACGACACAACGCATCGGCGCGCTGATGCCGCAACTGGCTCAATTCCATGTATGATGCTGGGCTGAAGGGTGATGTTTTAAGCACATCGTATGGCGTGCCGTTTGCTACATTTGCATTGTTGTTATTAACACCACCGCCACCGCCACCACTGCCGCCGCCGCCGCTACCACTAACAGAGCCGCCACTCACCACGCCGCTGCCTCCGCTACTACTGTTGCCACCGCTCTGACCATTGTTATTGGCAGCGTTCGAGCCACCACCTCCCGCGTTCAATGTGGGACGTAGTGTGCGATCATAACCCACATACTCGGGACTTTCTTCTGCAAAGGAGAGGCAATGAAAGGTAGTTCTTCCAAGAAATACACATTTTTATGAATTTTATCTTACCTTCTTGGCTACTCGTACTCGTTAAAGAGAGATCTCCAGATGCCATCTTTGCCATCACACCATTTTCTCAAATCGCAAATGTCACTTTTGAAATGATCTGGAAAGTTTGAAGAAATCAGTATTTAAAATTTGAGTTAAATTATTTATTTATTAACAAAAAAAAAAGGAATTTTTCTACTTCCACCCCAACCCTTGGTTGGAAGAGGTATTCTCTAATTAAGAATCACAATTTGGAAATAATGCAATAGGTAGAACACTTTTCTAGACGGCCTATATGAGAAGAGCGCCTGAAACCTGACTTGGTGGTAACGACATATGAATGTCCATAGTATGAAAAATACCACGAGATTTCGCTGGAACATGGCTTCCAATCGTAGTCGAAGAGTAAGGTCCTCCTTTGTCAATATGCTGATCAAGGATCAGACTTTTCACATTAGTAAAGACCACTCAGGTCACAATGGAGACTGATGCTTGTAAAGAGTCCTACTCTCTTGCTCAGAAAATTCGGACGACATTTATACAAATCAAACGAATTCGTAATTGCCATTAATCGATGTGAAGATTCGTTAAAATGTTCAAACCCGTAACCCAGGACACTTTGGGAAATTTGATAGAAACCCTTTATAATGGAACTCCGTAAGGGTAAATCCTATGTGTGCTTGAGTGAGCCAAAACCATACAAAACTAGGTAGATAAAACATGAAATCCATACCGCGAGCACACCCTTTATACTCCTACGAGTTAGTGGTCAAGAATTTCCCCAAGGTAAGGCATGCCTGCCGCAAGAGACGACTAAAATCAAATAGTTCCTGTGACAGTCGGGTATTTATACCAGAACTATTCGAATTTTTATCCAGGGTTTTCACTCCCGCAATATTTAATTATGTCACATTGAAGCTCCAAATGGAGCTTCCATTTAATTAAATGTAAAGAAGAAAGTAGACGTCGCATAGAACTTCAATTATTTATGCGAATTTTGAGTTGTCATTGGTCAATGAGTTCTAGGGCTGGAATACTGAGACGGTGTTCTAACATCTTACCCACACCTGGTTCCCTACATTTCTTACATTTCCTTGATTTGTTACTACCCTACTATGTCGCAATTATTTTGAAATCGTGTAAGCCATAATAGGGAGTGCTTACCTCCGTTGTTCGTTTTTTCTCATTAATCAAAACCCCCTGCGGGTTAGAGACTCAAGAATTTACCCGCGGTAAGGCATGCATATCGTAAGAGGCGACTAAAATCCAATAGTTCCCGGGACAGTCGGGTCTTTATACCGGAACGACCCGGATTTTTATCCGACCAAGGACTGTCACTCCCACAACATTCCCCAAAAAGTACCTGGGGAATAATTTTGTGGTTACAACAACAACAACAACAACAACAACAACAACAACAACAACAACTTCTGTATATCATTCCCATAATGTTTTTATGGCCTAAAACGCAGTTGTTATGTAACCAACTTATTACTTTCCTACCTGCGTCTTGAAAATTTTTTTCTGAAGTAAAACAATGTGAGATCATCGCCTTAATTGCTACGTGGCTATTAAGGTATGTTTTTTTCATGTGATTTTTCACGGTGTTAGCCAGCTCAGCGTCCTTCCATGCCGCAAATACTTTCTCAGGAAAAAGACTACAGTAAACCGTAAGCTTGAGTAGTATCTTCTATTAGACATCTAGCTCAATAGATTCCCGCGACCACACCATCAACCGAGTCCGAGTAACCAATCACACAACCGATTTCACTGGAATGCTTTCCACTGAATGCTGACTCTACTCAACGTTAGGGTAGTTCTCGGCCATCCGGTTATGCAGGGTGGAGCCAATGGTTTCACTCCAATGAGATTTTCTGGCCATCGAAGCATCAAAGCCGTATAAAGTTAAGATTGGCTTGAATACCAGTGGGTAACACCAATGCATTAGACCAATCGACAAGCTCAACATAGTACCTAGCATTTTATTCAATACGTCGAGCAGTAGTGGTCGGCCTTTTTCTACCTGTTTTCCAACACATTAGTCCTTTGACCAGTGATCTTGCACGCTTTTGTAAAGATTGTTCCTCATCATGTAACATATATCGTCTAGGAGTTCGTCAATCACTAATATCGTTAAGTCATCTGCTTCAACTCCAAACTGCAGTTTCCAGTCTTTAATTGCGCCAGAGTTACACAGATTTTTCAGACCAGCTCCAACTCATCGTTCGCAGCAGGCATTGGTTGGGTTCCAATGACGCTCTCCACGGGACGAGAATTGAGAGAGGTGTTAATTGACTCTCAACGATATGCTTGGGAGACTACTCTGTCTTCGAAATAGTGGTGGTGTACAGGCGACATTAAGAGGTTTATCGAGTCCCAAAGAACTCAAAATAAAATCTAATATAAAAATTAGTGAAAAATATCGTTCAACGTTCGGTCACATAAACAAGAGTAGGAAAACATTGTAATTAAATGATTGACTCTCTAAATCTAAGTGGAGCATGGAGAGATAAGAGATATTATCAGCAAAACAACTGATTTAGGGTCTCAAAATTTACCTAACAACGGTAAGAACAAGAGTATGAACAACAGCAATAACAACAACAACAGGAACTCTACAATGTTAATACTTCAATAAAAGAAACACTCAATTAGAAAAGCAACTAATTTTAAGAAGTACTTGTCATTAAGCCAAAATCGTCATGAAAAAAGCAGCCCGACAAACCCATTCATCGGCTCTAGTACAAAGCAAAAATAAATAAAAAATATCTGAAAGTAAAAAAAAAAAAAAACTAGAAATAAAAAAATCAAGATATGATAAGTTATCTACTTGTTTTTAGTGCTTAGTGCAAGGCGTAGAGAAACTAAACGAGTGTCGAAGGAAAGAAGCATGAAAAATAAATAAAGGGTGATTTTTTTTTCTGACATGTGGCCAAGATTTTCACTTTTTATAAAAAAAAATTGTTTGTCATTATGTCCTAAAAATAATTTGGAGTAAGTGACCACCAGGCGTGGCCCGGCTTGATAATATTCCAGCCAAGATGTGCAGTTTTCGACCACTTTTTGCAGCAATCGGGCGCATATGCCAACAATAATGCGCCGAATATTCTCTTTCAAAGCGTAAATCGCCGCGATCTAATCTGCGTAGACAAGCGACTTCACATAACACAAAAAAAAAAATAGTCTAGCGGTGTTAAAACGCACTATCTTGGTAGCCAAACACAAGCCCACGACGTGAGGTCATCCGCTCAACAAAAGTTGCCTTGAATAAATATGGCTCTTTAGCATTTAGCGCCAATTTAGGCAAGCAAAAGTCATTAATCAGGGCTCTATTATGTTCCCCATCGACTGTAACATTTTGGCCGACTTAATTTATGTAGAAATATGTATCAATGATTCCCCCTCTGCCCATGGAGCACACCAAAAAGAGACTTTTCGAGGACGTAAGTACGTCTCAATGAAGGCTTGTGGATTATCATCACTCTAAACGCGACTAATTCTTCTTTATTCACGTACCCATTCAATCAAAAGTTGTTGAATTATTGTAGCCGCAAAAGATTTGAGGAATCTTGCAAGAATGACAGTTCTTCGCCGGATAAAAAATTCGGGTCGTTACGGTATAAAGACCCGACTTGCGCCGGTATTTCAACCAAAAGCGAGATTAATCACTAAACAAACCTTTCTTGCGGCCATCTCGTTTTGAGTCCATTCACCGAAGGTGCGAAGGGCTTGATTCTTGCACGTGTGGGATTTTGTAATTACGCGCAATGGCGGCGGATGAACGCATTCGGGTCTTCTTTTTTATTCTGTTCCTCAGCAGCAATAGCGTCTTCGGTGCGCACTGTACGTTGAGTCTGAGGATACGCATTAAACACTAGAGAAAGGTTGCTCAAATCACAGACACTGCTGGTGATAAATTTGCTCGATTTACGAACGTTTTTCCGGTGGAAGTCTCTGTTCTTTACGAAATGACCAACCAAACTTAGTGTCTCATAGAAAACCACACCTCACCATTTATAAAAAATATGTTTTAACCATTTACTTTCCTGTTACTAATCATTAAACTTGAATCGTTGTAAAAAAAAAAAAAAACAGAAACTAATTTCAAAAATCAGTCTGTTAAGGTCTGTGTAGGCAGTTGAGTCACAGTATTTAGCCGAAGGTAGACTCTTGTGGGTTTGCCAACTCTTACTAAATGCAAATTGAATGTTTGTGTTTCTCTACACTCCGTAACTGCCCACCTCAGTTGTGCTCACTCCCCATGTGGGTCATGCCGTAATTATTGAGACTAAAAATAATGAATAAAGCACAGCAGGGCGTTGCGAGTTGTGTGGTAAGGTGATAATGGTTCAAAATATGATGCTCATATTGAAATTAATTTTACAAGAAATGAAAATTCGTAATATACGGATGACCATTCTGATCACTTGAGCACTTTGCTAACCACAAGACTACATTAAAGCGCAATGGTTGCGCTTTACCAGTTAATGGAACTTGGAAACGGTTGAAAATTTCAGATCTAAATCTAACTTCTTGGTGGGAGACGAGTTTTCTAAGTACAACAATTCCGCTGCGGTGTAGAGTCTTACGTATTATCAAAAGGACCTAGTGACAGGGCACAACCCACTGTTCCCCTTTTCCTATCCGACTCTATCTAGAATGCGACATACAGAAGCTCCGCTGTTCAAATAAGTGAAAGATGTTTCAAAGTTGTGCTTCAAAGCCGTCTTAAACTTTGTTAAAAGCGTTTCCGTCTTAACCAACGGATGCTAGGATTTAAAGGCTCTCACTAATAACGTGAACTTCTATTGTTATTGTAGTGGTTATCTAACGGTAGACACAGGAAAGGAGCTATTTCGAGAAGTTCAAAAGAAAGGTGTTCGATGATGGAATTTCAGTGATTACACCATTTGCAAGAAGAGGTTTAGCCATTAGGACCTGTCGGTATTTTGCCTTGACCAGCGTTTCTGTGATATTGTCTTGCCTTTGGAGTGAAATGTAATGACCTCAGAACCCCTTAGTGATGCTCCGAGGATAGCAGGATCATGATCCTAAATGTGTTATTCAGCTATGTCTGACTAGTTCCTGGTCACCAACTCGATGCGGCGTAGTTTATGACGACAGGCCAAATGCTGCTAAGAGAGAAGAGCGCTTTATTTCATGCCAGATATATTCTCGGAGGGGTTGACATTCCCTGCCGAGGGGCGATAATCGTAGTCGAATACTGAGTGAGGATTTCATGTGTTTTAGTTGTAATTGTAGTGCAGTGAAGAAGACGGAGAGAACGAAGATTCCCTTTGAACAAAGGTTATCAATCTTTTGGCCAGATGACATTATTGAATGGCCAACGGCATATGAAATCAGGAAACACCCTCTGGTTGTAAAATGAACCGCAGTTTAAGCAGCGTTTTCACAATTCACATTTTCCACATATAGAGTTTTATTCGAGTGATTAAAAATTAGTTGAGGGCCTTAGGGAGATAGTCTACTCCCGCTGGACCGGACCCATATGCTTTTTTCGTCGGGGCCAATGAATGCTGGAGGGTTTCCTCTTCGGATAATTCTTTTAACCTCTTCCTTGGCACTTGCTGTCCGTTCATAAACCGAAGAGTGCATAAAGGAAAGACGACAAAATAGCTCGTGCACTGCTTCGTGTGCGCGGTAATCTAATTAAATTACTACCCGGTCATCGCGTCTCATCGAGGGTGACAGTAATTTTTCGGAGACCCACAGCTTGTTTGCCATAGAGGCGGACCGCCTTAGAGATGTCCTGGATCAGACACAAGAAAAGAGAAAGTGTGGTGACATGGTGGTGGCAGTCCTGCTGGCATAAAGAGGTCATCAGCGGTCTCAACTGTATTGCTGAATTGATGTTCGGGTGAAGAGGACACTGACGGCCCTCTCAGTAAATGGTCTGATGTGAGAGTCTACGTCGGGTTCAAGAATTTACCCGCGATAAGGAATGCCTGTCGACTTAAATCCAATAGTTTCTGCGACAGTCGGGTAGAGACTACGCAGATGGAGCAGTTTTGCAATCTCCACTCCTCCAAAGATCACGGTACACGTTAATGTCGAGTTGTTGTTGTCCAGGAAATGAACAGTTTCGACGGGTTCGGACCAGAGGGAAAGGTGAATTAGATAAGTTGGCTTTGAGAGGCATGCAAAGAGATGGTTAATGACATTAATATGTCGGGGTCCAGTCTGGATAAGAAGTAATTTAGTCCACTGTTATTTCTCATAGCCGGCTCTACGCATCGAAGTTGACCCGAATTGTATCCGGCCAAGGGTCGTTACAATCAGTTTCGGCTTTGGGTCGCGTACATACATATGTATACAGAAAAGCTCTTGCTGGCAGTCTAAGGTGGTATCCCTGCGATCGATGTCGCCAACGATGAGACGATACTGCACAATGTTGGCCGAGTGTCATGAGAATCGCCTAGTCATTCGCTCCAGTTGACCTCATTTGAAATAAAAATAACAATGTCTGGCCGGTTTTCAATTTAAACAAAAACAAACAAAAAACTACAAAAAACTATAATAAAACAACAAAAACAGAAATTTACATCACCACACTTTCTATTGATTTGTGTTGCTATTTTAAACACTGTAAAAATGCGTTTCAAACGCTTTTACAAAAATTCGCAATCAAATGGCATTGCTAAGCTGAATAAAACCAAAAAAAAAAAACCGGAAAAAACCGAGAATTTACATTCACACAAATATGCATATATTTTTGTTAATTCATAGCCGACGCTTGTAGTCGTCCAATACAGTTTTTTTATGATTGGGCAAGGTCGTATGCAAATTACAAATAAGGGAAAAAAGAAATCTGTATAAAAGAGTTATGACACATAATGCGATTGTATGGGTATTTTGGAGAAAATTAAACAATTTATAATTTATTTAATTTAATTGCGGCATTATTGTCTAGTAAAGTTAACAACTTATGGGGGCTTTGTAATATTTTTAATACACAAAAACGATAATATAGCACAAGTATATGTATTTATGTACATACGTGTATGTACATATGTATGTAGATGAACATTCATACACACATACGTAGATAGCTAGTAGATCGAAAAGAAATGTTGGCGTTAGCGCAAAAGAAAAACGCAAACTCAAGCGTGTTGGCAAAATTAAAAATAAATTATAAATTTATTTATTTATTTTATTTATGTATGGCTTGAAGTAGCTTTTGCTTAATATTAGCGCTGTTGTGGTATCATTTTCACTATTATTCCCATCCTTTTATTATACATATTATTTTTTATTTTTAAATTTTTTTCATTTTTTGTTATTTTATATTTGTTGTTAATTCTTATGAGTTTTTTTTAAGTCTTTTTACTTTTTCTTTATTTTAAGTTTATATTTTTTATCTTTTTTATTTTTTATTTATTTTTTTTAATGATTTATTATTTTTTTTTAAGTTTTTAATTTATGTTTATCTTTTTTATTTTTTGATTTTTCTTTTATTTTTTTTATATTTTTTTTTAATTTTTATATAATGAATTTATTATTATTCAATTTTTATTTTTTTTTTACTTTTATATTTATTTATTTTTTTACTTTTTATTTTTTTTTTATAAATTTTTAATTTTTTTAAAATTTTTTTTTTTAATTTTTATAATTTTAATTTTTTTTTAATTTTAATTTTGTTTTTAATTTTAGTTATTTTTTTAGTATTGTATTAATTTTTTTTTTTAATATTATTTTTAATTCTAAATGTTGTTATTTTTTTTTTTAATTTTAAATATTTTATTTTTTTTATATTTACTTTTTTAATTTTTTTATTCTTTTTTATTTATATTTAATATATATCTTTTTAATTTAATTTTATTTAATTTACATTTTTTTTATTTTTATTTTATTTAATTTTTATTTTATTTTTTTTTTTATTCTTTTTTTCATTTTGTTGGGATTTTGTATTATTAGCATTATTATTTTCTTTTGTTTGCTCTTTTTGGGGCAAATGAACTGAGGCAATAATACTCAAATACACGAAACACTTCAAAAATTATTTAAAAAAAAAAAAAAACAATAAAAACTTTGCGGTCGCTGCTATGGCCAATACTCGTGTATGAAAGCGGCTTAAATCCGGGTAACTGGTTACACATGTACAATTCTGCAACAATAACAGCAACAAATACAAGAACAACCAGTCAAAAAATGTTGTATTTGAACGTCAAAGTGGAAGATAAAAATGACGGTGGTGGTCTTGATGATAATAATGATTATTATGTGATTATGAACTTAATTATATATGAACATACTGCATACTACATACTACATACATACAGTGTATGGCTTACGCTGCCGGTGACCGTTTCGCACGCTCCGCGTTTTTAATGCGTTCAGAACTTTAACCGGAATTTCGCACAAAGTAGAACACAGAATAAACCGTAAAATCAACAATAGAGCACTTGATATACTACACACTTATTAACTGTCATGCCTAAATATATACAAAGTACTATTATATATAATTATAAGGTCAGAAATTTACGAAACCTTCCATATGTTTCCATCTCGCAATTAAAAAACTAAGTAAATAAACTATTATGGATCATTTGCCCGCCAGCGAAACGTTGAGCCAACCAAACCTAACCAAATATATAGCTTAGCCACCCCAATAACTCACCCAACCAGACGATAATAAAAAAAGACTACTCTTTTTGAGGGGAAACCAACGAATTCAAAAACAAAAAAAAGCAATCACAACAATAACTACTTGTATGATGGTAATGTAAAGAAGCACAACTGCTGCACATATAATGTGCGAGTGCACAATGGTTGAATGATTTGAATGGAGCAACTCTCGAGTAATTAGCAAAAATAAAAAATAAAAAAATAGTCAAAAAAAAGAAACACACACTTATATTGTAATTCAAAACATACTAATTACTATTTGGTCGGCATTGTTAAGTATATACGAGCCCACCAATATTTACATGTGTATATACATACATATGTATGTATGCACATATATTGCAAATTGTGGTTTATAATAAGATGACGAAGCATTGCAAGTGGTGAAACAAAAGCAAGCGCACACAAATGGAGTTTATGAATTGAGAAAAAATAATATATGCAATAAAATCGGTGCACTAGAGTTCGTATATTACATACTTATACTTGCAATTCAAAAACACTATGAAAAACTTTAGACTGCTATGTAAGTTGAATAATTTTAACGTTCAACGCCTCTCTTAATTAAGACTTATTAATATTTAGTAGATTGGCTATGAAAATTATGCTTGAGCGATAGCGTAATGTGGCACGAAATGCCTTTAATTTAGCCAATGCAATAGTGAGTATCATTTTATTGCTTTTCTTCAATAGAAAAACTTATATTTATAAAATTGTTTCGTTGTTGTTGTTGTTGAGACCGGTACATACAAGAACCCATGGAACACTTTGCAAATTCTTTTCTGGAACACTGTCCGAGCCATTCAAAAATTAACAAAAACTGGTTTTCAAACCAAACTACATATTAAAATGGTTGACAAACGTGTAATCCTTTTGCACACACATATTGAATTGCAAAAGTTTATTTTTCGAGCAAGACTTGATATCTTCAAATAAATAAAACATATGCAAATTGCTTAAGGTTATCTGATAAACTACACCCCGTTCTGAACTTTCTAATTAGCATAATGATCATTAACCATGTGCATACCTTTTTTGTAGTTGTCCTTTTTACACTACGTTGCACTTTGGAGAAAGAAGAAAATATCGCCTTTCACTTTGTACTCTTTCCAAGTAAGCCTACAATCGCTGGCGCTGACGTTTGCTATCCACTATGTACGAATGTGCTGCTGTTCGTCGTGCTTGTTGCTGATATTAATTTTCGTTGTTGTTGTAGTGTTGTCTATGGTTGTTGTTGTTATTGTATCTGTTGCTCTTCTGTTGTAGTTGTTACAGTAATCTTCTTTCTGCGCTTCTTTACTTTTTTGTTTTACTTTTTTTTTGCTTTATTTTTTCACAATTTGATTAACGCCCATTTTCCACACTGATTTTCATCAACATATTACACAAATTAGCACTATATTTAATATAATTCGTGTAGTTGGTCACTTTATCTACGTTTTGCACTATATTTCATACGCGAAATTCACATATTTTTCCAATAATAAGGCACTTGAAATTTTTTTCAGCAGAGAAGGTGAAATTTTTTATCGCAACGTACAAAAGCAGAGAAGTATAATAAAATAAAAACAGATCCAGCGCACTGATGATGACAGATTCCCAGTATTCGTTAAAATTTTGACAATTGATCGGAAAATACTGGCAAATTGGGCTAAACTGACAGCCACGACAAAAGTGCAGGGTTATGCCAAGGCATAATTATTAAAATTCTTAGCAATGCACATTTACATTTGCCCTAAAATACATATTTCACTTCAAATCTGAGCAAACAAACTTATATTTTAGTGGTAAGTTCATTTTTACATATAATTTTTTTTTAGGAATGTTATATGTTAGCAAAAATATCTTAAAATCTTATTCGGAAATTCGAGATTAATTCTCACCTCATTCTGCACCCTGTGTTTTGGTGATGACATTTTTTCTTCACCCACAATTTCGTATCAAAATTGACAGCTGTCAAAAAAGTATTGCTCATTCGCCCACCTATTCTTGAGAAAAAAACAAGGCCCAGCAAACGTATTAGTACACACGAATTCCATTATATATTTAGTTTAAAAATAACTAAATTTTATATAAATTCCAGGGAAAAAATATTTCTATCTTACAACTCTTTGTGGTGTTTAGGAAACTGAAAATTGATTTAAAGGTAATAAAAATATATACACAGGTGTATTTGCCACAATAGGGCCAAGTTGAAAGTGAGGCAGCAACTCGGAAAAAGAAGCAGAAGTAAAGGGAGATAACGACGAACTACCGGAGCAGCCAAAATGGTGAGTAATGCATTTAGATATTTTATGTTATCTTCATTAAAAATATAAAAATGAAATGTTTGCACCGAATCGATCGTATTGCTGCATTTTAAATTAAAGTGTGTGCTAATAAATAAAACCAAAACAAGTCATGGAAGGTGTGCCGGTTCAGTACTTGTATAAAAGCAATGGGCAAGCGCGAGAGTACTACTTACTACACGTAAAAACCATGCCCATATATGGTAATTGTAACAGCTAATGTTGTGGTTGTTGTTGTCAAGCAGATGATGATGTTGTTATAGCCACAACATTTGTTATGTTCAATTAATGGAAGAAAAATCCTTCAGTTATTTGAAAAAAAAAGTATAATATATTGTTATGAAATAATTTTAATGTAAAAATAGGGGTATCTACTATTGCTTATGTTCGCATAATACTTTACAAATATATAATATATAAATTTTCTTCACTACTTTCAGTCGGACGTACAAATGGACAGTGCGCTTGATCTGATGCGCCGCCTGCCACCACAACAAATCGAAAAGAATCTCATCGATTTGATTGATTTGGCGCCAGAACTTTGCGAAGATTTGCTCTCATCTGTGGATCAGCCATTGAAAATTGCTAAAGATAAAGAGCATAACAAAGATTACCTGCTATGCGATTATAACCGTGATGGTGATTCATATCGCTCGCCATGGTCAAATACCTATTACCCGCCACTGGAGGATGGTCAAATGCCATCAGATCGATTACGTAAATTAGAAATCGACGCTAACTATGCCTTTGATCAATATCGTGAAATGTACTATGAAGGCGGTGTATCTTCAGTGTATTTATGGGATTTAGAGCATGGCTTTGCAGCGGTAGTGTTGATTAAAAAAGCCGGTGATGGTAATAAGAAAATACGTGGCTGTTGGGACTCCATACACGTAGTAGAAGTGCAAGAGAAACCAACGGGGCGAACGGCACACTATAAACTCACCTCCACAGCAATGTTGTGGCTACAAACAAACAAACAAGGTTCTGGCACAATGAATCTGGGTGGCTCCTTGACACGTCAAACGGAGCAGGATACCAATGTGAGCGAATCGTCACCGCATATTGTAAACATTGGTAAAATGGTCGAAGAGATGGAGAATAAAATTCGTAATACGCTTAATGAAATCTATTTCGGTAAGACGAAAGATATTATAAATGGCTTACGCAGCGTACAACCGTTAGCCGATCAACGACAGGAGGTCGCAATGAAGCAGGACTTGGCTGCGGCGATTCTAAAACGTAATGTCAAGCCAGAATCGAACTGAAGAGTGCATGTGCGCTGTTGAAGGGAGAGTATGACGGCGTTGACAGTGTGTGTGTGCGCAATAACAAGGAGTAAGAATGACAGACAAGGGAATGATTAAACATACGGCAAATCGTTGTAGTTGCGGAAGTGTACTTTTGGCAAGCAAACACTGTCTGCATAAAAACCACATAGATGCAATTCTTTTAATTAAAACAAAATAATATTAATGATAATAAATAAATACAAACAAACAAACAAATAACGAATAAAAACCAAAATTTATGCAATTACATACAAATTCCACAAAAATTCAATCAAAATAATTTTTGAATGCCTAAAATGAAATAAAGAAATTGAGGGAGCAGTGTGAATGCGCACGCAAGTTTAACGCTTAACTTGAAAGCTATTGACACCCACTTGCGCTTGTTAAATGGCGAAAAAATTACAAAAACAAAATTCGAAAATTTCTTTTCTATGACGAAATTTATATGTATGTTATTTCCATATGTTCCATGCATTTATCTATGTACGAATATAGGGGTGTCTATGTGTATATCAGCCGATATAAATATATCCACAAATGTTTAGAATCAAACTTTTAAAGTGCGTCATCAATTAATTTGCGTGCGCATACTGTTAAATAATGCTAATAACAATTATTATGATAAATTATCGCATCGAAATATAATTGACAAAGGCATACCAATCAATAACACATAAACTAAAGCATTTGCATTATTGTTCAGTAGTGGTGATTTTTAGTAAAACAATTTAAATGTAGCAATTGTTAAACTTGTTGAAATAATTTGAAGACAAAAAGGAAAAATACAAAAAAAGAGCATAACTGACATATTGAAATACAATGTGTATGTATGAAGAAGGTAATGGTGGACGGGCAGTTTTAGTAGTCGCGCTATATACGTGTATGCAATTATTTAGGGGGTATGCAAGTAATGTACTCGTATCTGCACTACCTAATAAAAATAATACTAATTTATTGATGTAGAAATGTTTGTCCCAACAAAAAAAAAAAAAAATTGTTGTAAAGCGCCACAGTTCGATTATCGTTTAAATTGCAAACAAAAACAACAACGTACCTTTTTGTCAATTGTTTGTACTCTCCCCCCGCCTCCCACTACTCGCGTGTATGCCTATTTTGTATTGTTTACTTCTCTTTTTCATTTACTTTCTATTTTATTTTAATCACTTCTGCCTTCGCTGTCAATGCTGGTAAATAGCATACAAACATACATATTTAATATTTAAGTAACAGCGAATGTATTTAGAATTTAAGTACATATGTATGTATGTACGTTAATTCACAACTGATTTCTAAATAACTTTAAATAATAAATCAACATATTTACATGCATAGACTTAAAAGCTAAAATGTATATGTATGTATAATTCAAATAACGAAAAAATTTATTTTTGTGTATTAACAAACAATAAGTTTACGCATTAGCTGCAATAAAAATAAACTTTTTCTATTATTATAAATATATGTATGTATTAATTACTATTTACTTATTGAGCTTACACACAAACATAAATAAACACATTTAAATATACATACTACTCCATACTCTGGTTTATTCAACATTTGTATTAATAACGAAAATAAAACAAAAACTACAACAAAAACCATCTCTCAGTTAAATCATCTAGTTTCGAACTTATGTATGTATGTATTAATTTGTATTTGATTTAATTCAAAAAAAAAAATCGCAAACAAATGTGCAAAATTTTATACAAGATACTAATAAAACAATAAAAAGGAAGAAATATTAAAAAAAAAAAATAAAAAAAATCCCATTTTACATTTAACCACCCTTTAAGAAGACCCAAACTTTTATATTGGAATGTCGTTGAAGTAGCATTTGGGTGGGTACTCTAGCCATACCCGACAAATAGGCAATAGAGTAAGCTTGTGTCACAACTGAATACTGGGAAACCACCAAAATTCTAACACCCTAATAGGCTTATTCTTTCTAAACTCTCCTTTTGATAAGGTTTTGGTACAGTTGGTTCTGCCTTTTATTTGCTTGAGAAATCCTGTTGTTGTTGCAGCAGTTCACTAGCCACATTTACTTTGTCATCGAGAACATTCACTCGAGGCCTAGGAAACCAGCTGTTTCGGCGACTCGACCCAAAAGAAAAATAGCAAACAAGAGTCGTGCGAGACTCATTACTTGCTTGATATACAATCGTTGCATATATCGGGGTCGAGTCTGGTTAAGTGGCAGTGTTTTCTGCTACAATGTATATGCGCCAGTACTGCATGGGTCGAGCTTGAGCTCCTCGTCTGCAATAGGTGGTGTTTGGGTTTTAAGAACACCATTAACGCGAAGAGAGTTCCGTAAAATGCTGATTGGTTGGTTCTCTTCATTTTTCCTTATGTTCCGGAAGGCGGCTGTACTAGTGAGTGGACTGAACTAGTCCAAACTAACAATCGTCGCTTCCAGTAACCTTATTTATTTATTTATAGACAAAATTTCCTAGCCATCGGCCACAACATTTAACCAGTCCGCCTGGAAGAGCGAGAAAGTTCGAAGCGCTACCAAGTGAGTTCTCGCAGAGGTTCGATATTGATTGCGCCCACAGGTTTCCTGGATGTTAATGAAGTTTAGTGCGCTACTTATGCGTTGTTCGGTTCAGATTTTGGGTAAAAGGCGTAAATCATCAAGGTCACTAGTGTCTTCAGTATTGGTAGATGAAATATAGTTATAACCGAAACACAGGACTGGAAGGCATACCGCCACTTATTATAGACCAATAGCAAAACTTAGGTTTGGATACTGTAGCAGGTTGAACTCCTACTTATCCAGACTCGACCCCAGCATATCCAACGTATGCCCTGTATGTGGAGGGTCTCCGCGCGACACTAACCACCTCTTCACATGCCGACTCATCTAACCCCACTCTCCCTTTGGTCCAATCTCGTCGAAACAGCTTGTTTCCTGTACCTCTCATTAGATGACCTCGGCGTCTTAGATTAATCAAACCTGTACCTAAGCGGGGTTAGTGAACCGCTACAACAACAACAACACCACCAGAGGAATAGCTCGAGCTGCCAAGAGGACCAATTATTACTGACATAATTAAGACCTGATCATTGTAGACGACCTAAGTTCTACTTATCTAGACTTATCCCCAACGTATCTAACGTGTGTCCTGCTTGCAATTAGCTTCCGCATCACACTAACCAACTGAATTATCATACCTGTCGCTCTGAGCCGAGCCCGTCGAAACAGCCCGTTTCATGGAAACAACAACAGCAACAACTCAACAAAATGCGATTAACAAAAGAAATTAGCAGCCTGTGGGTTAGTGTCTCAAGAATTTACCAGTGGTGAGGCATTCTAAATCCAAGAGGCAACTAAAATCCAATAGTTCCCGCGTCAGTTGGGTCTTTATACCGGAACGACTGTCACTACCGCAATATTCCTTGAAATCCAATTCGGTTACAACAACAACCCACCTATCATAAGATCCCGTCGATTAAGACAGAGTTTTTATTGGGGTCCAAGGTTTGTTTTAGCAGGTACAACATTGCAGATGCTTACCTGTAAACTCAACTCCCACTTATCCAGATTTTACCCCGACATTTGTATATATGTACGGAACGTATAAATTTCCGCACCACACAAACCACCTCTGCACATGCCTTTAAAACCCGTTTCTTCGAAACACAATAAATTTCTTGGATTTACCGTTAGATAATCTCGAAGACAATAACAATAATAGCAACAACAAATTATACTCCCATTAACTCCCATCCCTGGGCAGTCGATTCTGTGCACCGACCAAGAGCTGTTACTTTTTCATCGATCTAACATCATTGGCGGCCGCGATGGTTAGTATTGCGTACTGACATTAGAAAGGCTCGGGTTCAAATCCCGGCGCCACCAAAATCCAAAAAATTATCAAATATTAATTTAAATCAAAATAAAATTTTCTAGTTGTGGTCGCCTCTCGACAGGGAATATAAGCCCCTCCGAGTGTATTTCGGACGTGAAATGAAGCTCCTTATAAAAACCATCATCCATTCGGAGACGGCTTAATATAAACTGTAGGTCCCTCCATTTTTGTGACAAACATCCAGACGGAAAACCACAAATTGGAGGAGGGGCTCGGCCAAAAAAAATCACTTCAGCGGTTACAAAGCGCCAATTATGTATGTAACACCTTTGAATCAACGGGTAAGGCTTTTATATGTTTTCCGCTCTCTGATGACACACAGTAAGCATCAACACCAACAACGTTAAATAATTTCGGAGTCGCAATCAAATTGTTTTAGTAACAAAAAAAAAACATGAATTCTTCTTCTTACTCATACGTATATATATTTTTCCATTTATTCATATTTTTATGAGAAAATTATTTAAGCTTTACTACAGTTAATCCAAGGACTATAAGTATACTCTTTTATCGTATAGAAAATATGTGTGTTTTTGCATGGGTATGTATGTACGTACACGTATGTAGGTGTATAAGTGGCATTGTTACAACTAATTTGCGCGTTTTAGTTTTTAGATTTTTTAGCAAAAACAATTTGCAAATATTTTTAACATGAAAGTCGAAAATTTGTATTTCGATTGTATTTTTTTTTTTTTGTTTTTATATGTTATTTAAATGTTTATACAGTTGTAATGGATTATTTTCTCTCAGCTCTGAAGACACTACTTAGTTATATAGCGTGAATACAGTTGTAAAGTTATTACAGAGTGTATATATTAATTCAGAAATTAAATAAATATAATATGCACATAATATTAGAACTATATACAACATAACTTATGTTTGTATATGTGTGTATGTATGCGTGTTTTCATATGTGATAATGGCGTTTTAATTTTAAGCTACATTATGTGTATATGTATGTATATATATTTTTTGAATTTTTACATATGTTTTTATGTAAGTGTGTATTTGTATGCACTTAGTTTTCTTTTAACCTTTCTTTAACTACAGACATATATAAAGCAACTGCATTTTACAGTTATCTACAACTAATAATTACTTTCTATAATTTATTTTTTTTTTTTTGCTTTAATAAAATTTTATAACTAAATAGTACACGTATAAAATGTATGTAGTATTAGTAATTATATTACATGTTGCTTATTAATTTTTTTTTTCAATATTTGTGTATGCTTAAAATTGCTGTTGTCTCCATTTGTAAATCTTTGATAAGCGATATTTTGGATAATTCACGAGGAACAGACTTGTGTTAGTGTTGTGTGAAACATATTGAACGAAACGGTTTTACATAAAGTGAAAAAAGTTTGAAAATTAGAAAATATATCACAAAAACAAATATTTTTTCAGCAAATTATCATTTGGTTTAGAATTAGTGTTAATTTACGAATGTAAGCCAAATAATTAATCAGTAATTTGTGCATTTCTCTTTTTAAATTAACCATAAATTTATGTTTTATGCAAAAAAAAAAAATAATAATAAAGCACAATAGTAAAGCATTTAGAATGCATGACTCCGTTGGGTTTAAAACAAATAATAATAATACAAGTATTCCAACTCAATACATATATATATATATATATATTTTGCTACCTCGTTTCTGTCTGTTTGTGTGTGTTGTCGTGTTTTGTTTGCATATACTTATAAGTAAATAATTTTTTTTCAACCTATTTTCACCGTCTTCTTCTTCTTCTTCTTTTATAAACCCTTAACTTTATTGCATTTTCGAAACTTCGAATTTCGTATTTATTATTTCCTCATCCGAATCTAAAACCGGCAACGCTGGATCAGCCATTGATGATGGTATATTCTCTTCCACCCAACGTAGATCATCTTCTTCGGTTGTTGTGGCACGTTGTGGTGGTGTTTTGGTGCCACCATTTGCATGCGAGTTACGCATTTTCACGCCGTAAGCGTCAGCGACGAATTGGTCTTCTTCTGTGGTGATGCAAAAAACTTAATTTTTTAAAAATAATACAAAAAAGCGCACAGGAACAAACAACAAAATTCATTAGAATAAACGAATATCGAACGAATTAAAAAAAAAAAGGTTTTTTACAAAAAAAAAAATATTAAAAACCGTCCATTGTATTGCCCAACACTATTTTGTATCATAAATACTTATATAATATAATATTATGAGAAATTAATAATAAATGTTAGGTTAGGTTTATGAGCAACTATTTTTATTTATTTTCAGCGCTTGAAATCGTGAGGAGAGAGAAATAGTATTAGATCTGGTGTATGAGTATCAAGCTCAACACTGAAGAAGCTCATATAATTCAGACGGTCTCTTAGAACCCTAATAAAGAATCAGAAGAAGTCTCAAGAGCCTACATTTGAGCTACTGTATATATGCGACCAATATCCATAAGTCATAGAAAACTAATTTAAATAAAAAATTAGGTGAAATTTTCTAATAGCGGTCGCCCCTCGGCAGGGAATGTTAACCACTTCGATTGTACTTTTAACATGAAATAAAAGCTCTTCATAAAAAACCATCAGCCGTTCGGAGGCAGCTTAGTATAAACTGCAGGTCCCTCCATTTGTTGGAAAAACGTCATAACCACAAATTGGATGAGCGCTCGGCCGAATACCGCTTCAGCAGTTGCAAAGCGCCAATCAAAAAAAAGAGTTAACTAAAGAGTCGTACATATTTATACAAATAAATCGACTAATCGCGATATTTACCGTCATCATCCTCATCGTCCGGAGCATCGAGTAGCGGTGTAAATGCATAACGTTGATTATTATTTGTGGGGCGCCACAAAATCATTATCACTAGCAACAAAACGGAAAAGAGTACATGCCAAAAGGCGGTATCTAACCAAATGTTACCCCAGATCTATAAAGCGATAAAAAATATATACAAATATTTATTTCTTCTAGGGTTTTTTTTTTCAGCTAAATATTCATTATTTACTTACCGGTGTACAGTTTTGTGTTTTGCGCACATGCAATGCATACAACATGAACAACACCGACGCCATAACTGAGAATATCAACGTGTTTGTGAAATGTCTATACAACGATAGTTTAACCATATTTCTAAAACAACAAAATAACAAAAAATAATGAATTACTATTTTTATTTGAATTTAATATAATTCAAAAATTATTATAGCAATAATGCATACCTTCTCAAGCGTAACGTTCTGGTGGTCTGCACCAATGAGGTGAATATCCACCAACAAATGCCTGTGTCCAGCACAGCCAAAGGTATAGCCGCCACCAGCTGCTCATCGGTTTTCGTGCTAGTCACACGTAAATAACTTTCAACGCAAGCTAAAACAAAATATAATGTACCAACGCCAACCACGCGATGTAGCATTGGACCCAAACGTGGCCTAAAATTGAAATGGGATAATAAATAAATGAAACAAAAATTTAATTATTAAAAATACACCTGCTACACCTGCTAGACATATTTACGCAAGTGTTTACATACATATGTACATACTATGTTATACTCACTTGACAATACCAAAACCCAGACTCATAATTATGACAAGCATACGCGCTAAGGTTCGTTTGGCGCACGATACAAATTCTGCCATCAATTCAGCGCCCTCAACAGATATGCCTGTCGTATTTAAGCTATAGTATTCGGCGTAAAAGAAGGCTTTCTCTAACATGCCCAACAGTATAACGCCACCAATCCAGAATTGTATGCGCAGTAGATCACGCCATTGCATGAATGAGACAAGTAGCCAGATAATACCGAAAACTACATACACACCGCACATTATGCCATAGAACTAGTGAAGAAATTAAAAAATTATTGGTATATTTGATGTTGATTTGTAAAATTCAATTTCACTTACCGCCAAAAGTGGATAGTCTATGGCTGAAAGATAGCCACCATCAGGCCCCACAATATCTACTTGCACATGTGCGGTGAAATCTACCGATTCAGAGCCTTTGGTCGCTTCAATTTTCAATGTCAACTCATAAATGCCATCTCTGCCTATAGTGATTATATTTTTCTCTATGGGCTGATTAGAGAAAAGTAAAAAATTAGGATTTTTCGATCATTTTGATTATTTTAACCAAGAAGTTATTATATATTAAATCAAAAAAGACTACAAGGAGAGAATAAATTCATTTGGGACTTGGCAAAATATTTGCAATAATTCAAGTTGAAATTTGTCGCATTTAAAATCCGAATTAGCGAGAATGATTGTACTTTCTTTCCGGTGTTAGGCACAAATCAATATAATGATGAATTTGAGCTAGGTTACGATACGAACATTTTCATTAAATATATTGATATTTTGATTAACGCGTTCGATTCCCGATTTTATAATTTAAAAAAAGTTTCAGTTGGCATTCAAATTTCTCAAAAACCTATTCTTTTATGACCCAAATATTATTCAAAAATTGTCAGATCTTTTCGCAACAAAGAGAACTCATTTGGAATACGGTATTTCGTTGGTAAATGAAGAAAGTGGCTTGTCAAATGAAACGGGCGATGCATGGTGGAGGCGTTTGTTATCTGAATGTAATTTCTTGGCACTCAAAGACCCAACTTTTAATATTTTTAATGCCACATACGTTTGTGAAGCATCACTCTCTAGTAATATCGTAACGAAATTTGGAATACAATCGAAGCCAAACTTTGATAAATTGACAAAAGAAAGAAAATCATTCGCCGCATTAATCTTAAATAAACAATCATTGTTTCAGTTAATTTTAACTCAATCGAAAATAAATGCAAAATCGGAATTTCGACTTGTTTTCACTGTTTTTCTTAGGTTTTGGAAAAAGTGGCCATTGAATACATCTGTCTACCCCTTCAGTGGCCACGACAAAAAAAAAGTTTGGACAGCACTTGTCTAAACAATATTTTATTATTTTCTATAAATTACCTAAACATAATGTGAACAGCACAACCTTTTTATTAGCTTTAATTTTGTCTTGTCCTCAAAATTTTAAACTAATTTCAAGCATTAGGCGTTAAAAACAAAATTAAATATATTTCGCAAACAAAAAATTATGTCTTATCAATTGCTTTTGCGTCTTTTCTACTTCCTATGCGATAAATTAAAAAAAACTTGCATTTACTGCGTAAAATATGAGTCATAAATTAACTATCCCCATTATTTAGATATCATAAAAACGTAGCGCAAGAGAAGATAATGGTGTTAAATTTTACTTTATACAAGAATTTGTAGAAAATGGAGACTTATCAGCAAAAGTTAAAAAAAAGTTTAGCGGGCACTAGGTGGCTTATCAGCACAAAATAGTGCTTTGACATAATATGAATGAATTTTCTGACAACTGACCCGAAATTAGTATAGCAAATATTTCTTGTTAAACACATATTAGTGAACATAAAAAAGTGTTAAAAAATTTAAAATAAAAACTATGTTACCGCGGTTGGATGCCTTCTTGTAGTATTCACTTTCTGGGAAGTGGACAATGCAGCGGCTGCCGGTGATTGCGCTGCACTTCCTGCCGCTGTTGATGTGTACTCTTGTGAGGGCCATGGTTTTTCTGGCAAAATAATCGGATGTGTTGAACATTCTGTAGTTTTTGTATCCATGGCAATGAAGCCATATTCTGACTTGTTTTGTGTTTGTAAATATTCATTCTCACTTAAATGATTCTCACGCTATAAAATGAAATTTTTAATTGAAGAAATAATAATAAGAAATTCATTTGTAATCAAGGACAATCACCATGAACTTATCCGTCCAGCATTGTAGCTCATATAGTTGCCATTCAATGTTTATATCTAAACCTTCGCTACGCTCGCAGTCGACTGATGAAATTAACAAAAAATAATACGTGTATTTTAATGCGAAATTTGTAATTTTTAAATGAAATATCACTTACTTTGAACTTTTATTTTGGAGTTGGCCAACAGAGGACGTTGTTCACGTGCAACATTAGCGCCCTTTAATCAGGAAGGGAATAAAAGAAAAAATGCACATGATGATGAAATTCTTTTGGCTATATACAGATATTTTTATATTAAACAAAAAAACACCTAGCTTACTTACCGGCGTTAAGGTTTTAATAGTTTTGCCAGCTTCCGATTTTGCTTGCGTCGCTGGCATTAGCAAGACCGTTAGCAGTAACACCTTCAGCATTATTTGTAGTTTCGTTCGCCACATTTTTATTTATTTTTTATATTCTTACTTATGTGCTAACGTTTTTTCAGCACTCAGAAAAAAAAAATTAATTCTAATAATATAGAATATACTTCGCAAATTATAACTTTATAGTCAATATATCCAGCAAATTTTCACGGAAAATCGACGTCAACAAGCAGACTCAGCAAATAGGAAGAAAACATAAAGCAAAAGAAATATAAATTCTGACAGTTCTTGCCAATTTTTTCTTCCGTCCAATTCTGTTTTCTTTTTTGATATTTCATGTGACGAAGTAGAAAACCAAAATAAACAAAATACACGGTAAAAATTGAAAACATATTTTAAAAAATAAGCAGAAATTAGTCAAATTTTTATTGTGAAAAAATTGTTTAATATGTTATCCAACGAGTCAATGAAGCGAGGCATAAAACGGTAACTTAATTTTCAATTGGGAGTATGGCAATTCAAAATTTAGTTGTTCAAAAAGAAGCAGCTGGTTCAAAAGTTTCCCTTAATTTTAGGTAAACAAATCAACATATGTTTTTATGGGTAAAAAGTTAGAGTTGGTAGTATTGGTGTGACATAACCCCTGTGAGAAGAAATCGCACAAAATATTCGAAAGATATATACAATGTTGAAAAAGGTAAATTTCATGTATTATAAACCATTAAATAATGATATTTAATTGTTATTTACATGCAGATTAGTCCACTTGTACCACGTCTGCTCTGCTATAGCCCAGCAGCTAGTGTAAATAAATCGGCAACACGAAACTATAGCGATGGACGCAGTGTTTTCGAACCCGACTACTTGGAGGTGCATATTTTGATTTATTCCAGGAGAAATTATGTTAACACTCGCTTTTACCAAATCATTGTCATTACAGTCCCTAAAGCCCAAGTTTCCACAATATTCCTGTCTTAATGTACAAATTAAAGGTTATGATTTCCCAATACTAGAAAGCTACCAACGTTATCTGCACAGTGTTGCGGAATACCTGGATATCGATGTTTCCGATTGGTAATTGTAAACAAAATTTCTAGAATTAAAAGATTACTGATCTCGACATATTATTTTCAGTTACGCGCTGCCTCCCCAAGCCACCCAGGTACAAAGATTACGACCCAACTCTGCTGTTGTCGAGGCCGAGTACCGATTGACTGTATATGAAAGAAATCTACAAATAAACGATGTTGATGCACCTGTATATCCGGTCTTTTTGCGCATCGCACAAGCTGCGTTGCCGGAAGGTGTGCACTTGTGTGTTCAAGAACACTCAGATGAGTTTGAGGAACGCCGATATGTGCCTGATCGTGATTTGTTAGATTTAAAAGCAGAATTGGAACGTATGCAATCAGGCGGTCTTGGTGGCCCTAAAAAGAAGTAAACACAGAAATTACTTTTTCGTTTTTATATTTCTATGCCATGATTAAAATTGCATACGTATTTGTGGAAATTAATTTACAGTGAATAATTGTAATAAAAGGTTGAAAACTAAATGGAATGTACTATATAAAGCTTTCACTACTGGGCGGAATAGAGTTTCTTTAAGCTATTTTTTTCTCTGTCGTAAGTTCTTAGCATGTAAGAGTTAAATTTATGCAAGTACCGTAAAGCTTAAAACTACTTATTTCTTATGTGCACAGCATCTATTTGTAATATTGCTATTCCACAAGCACCAATAGCGCCAGGCCGGAAACAAGAGGAAATTTTTATGCACCTAAACGACACCAAAGTGCACCACTTTAATGGCTGGTTGTGTGGCATTCGATTTACGTGACTTTGAGCTATCATCGCGGTTCGTGCTCTTCGTTGGTGGGCGTGGCATATCTTCAGCTGTAAGGAAAAGTGTTTAAGAAAAAAATAGAAATTACAAGTAACAACAACTACCAGCTGAGAGTGGATTAAAATCTTTTAAATAGTCATCATGCGGATGACAAAGTGGCAAGCTGTCAGCTAATTCTTTCTTCGGATTGGTTATATTACGCGCCAGTGGACGTGAATAGCCATTACGCTTCGGTGGCAGCGGTTTTTCCTTGCGTGGTATCTCCTATAAGTGGAATAAATAAAATAAAAAAAAATAAATTCCTCATAAAAATATTCTCCGCTTACCGGCACTACTGCCACCTGCACCGTGTCGGAAAATTTCACTTTATTTTTCTCTCCAGCAGGATTACGACTATTTCCACTACCACTGTGGGACTCTTTGTGCAAACCATTTGCAAGCGCTCCACCACCATTAACCAAATTACCACCATTTTGTTGTTGCTGTGCAGAACTATTCGAAAGTATGGACGCAGTTGGCTTCTTTTGTAGTAAACGTTTCTGGTATTCCTCACTAGAAGGCATTACCATCAATGTTGACGGTATTGTACCAGATACTAACGGATGTTGATAATATTTTGGTTTATAAATGCCGGAATGCATTGCGTTTACACCAGCCATCGTCGTGGGTGCTAATGCAGTAGATGGCGAAATCTGTACTTGTTTTTGTTGTGGTAATGGCAAGGTATTCTCGGATACAACAGCTGGGGAGGCGTGATGCATTAAGGATGTGGTGGTGCTGGCGGGTTGCAGGTGCGTTGGATTTGTTAAAAACGGCGTATATGTGTTATTGTTGGCGATGCTTGAATTGTTGATCCGTGCCAATAACGTGCTGGAAGGTGTAGGAATATTGTTATGCGTTTTTGCGTCGGCGGGCAATTGTTGCTGCCACGGTAAAAGTGTCGCGGGCGGCGTAACAGCAGTTAATGCTGAAAAAAAGCAGTTAAAAAGCAAAAATAAAATATAACCCAATTTGTAGGGTAAAATTTGTAAATCAAACACATTACCTGAACCTTGTAAATCACTGCCACTCTTCGCTGAAAGTTCTGCGAGCGTACTGCTTGTGGCTTGTGCGTTGCAATTGGCGTTGTGTAAAATTTTCAAACTACGTAAGGTTGGCAAGGGAGGCGGCGGTGGTGGCGCTCGTGTGCGCATTGTATCTTGCGTACTCTCAATACGCAACTCGGGTTTTGGTAAATTTATTTTTATCATTTCGGCATTGAATATTTTCGATTTAAATGATGGCAATGGTGGCACATAATTCTTTAAATGTTCTTTTGTATAATTGTTGTGTTGCTGCGTTTTACTGCGCTGCTGCACTTGTACATCGGAATAAGTGGATTGTGAGCAAGCCGACTCGGAACGATAATCTGAGCTTATATTGCTATTTACAACCCCACTCACAACACGGCCGTTACCCTGCTCTTCAAGCAGTATTGTAGCAGCTTGACTAAAAGCAGCCGACGAGAATTCCAACAAGTTTGCATTCACTTTGGTCACATTAAAAAGATCCATGAAGAGATCGTAATCTTCAATATCTTCAGCAACTTCAAATGCTTCAGCGTACATTTGTTTTCTGCAAATGTTTTATGAAAGGGAAAATTTTTATAAATTTCACATACAATTTTAGTATCATTCATAAATATATATTGTACCGTAGTAAATAGAAGAAAAAACGTCGCTTCAAATCAAACACTTGATCGCTAAATTCATCTTTTGTATCCTCAGATAATGCATCGGTGAATGTTCTCATCGCTTTGCCCAGCAATTCCACGCGTGCGCGTTTCGCTTCACCACGATGGAAAACATGATTAGCGATTTTGTGTAACGATATTAAACACATAGCGCCATAGGTTTCCCAATTAAGCGCCAGTAGTAAATTCACCGCTTTCTCCAGTTGATTTAATGATAAATATTTGTCAACTAAAACATCAGCGGTCAGGCCTGAATTGTGTATGTCACCACGCATGCCGGCACCAGCAAAGAAACGCAAACAACCCAACGGTCCATGCTCGAAATGCAAGAATAACAAACAATCGGTTTGTACATATGGCAGAGAGCGTTGCGTCAGGTCGGGCTTACGACTGAAGGCCACATGCAGCAAAGTTGGCTGCGCGATAAAGTAGTGTGAAAGATCCAATAAATTTAGCGGTGTGACATCTTCACTCTGCAATTGATTACCCACCGGCGTGAGTGCGAGGTCAAAGCATTGAAATTGTGCACGTTCATTAGCGATCAAAACAATGCTGCTATCCGAGTGCCAGGCGCAATGTGTGGGTATCTGAAGAGTAAAAAATATATGCATATAATTTAATCCGTTGTAATGATACTATAAAAATATTGCATAACTTACAATATCAATACGTGTTGTCACTTTGGTCACCTGCTGCACCAGATCGTGTAGGGAAATTTTTCGATCGATCGTGCCTAAGAATAACTTCTCTTGATCTGGACTAAAGGCGTGACAACAAATTTGCGTACCCATGGATATTGATGTCATGGTGTTGCGCTGCATTTTTCCAGAACTAATTTCATAGGTACAAACTTCTGCATATATTTCACCTTTTCGCGACACTTTTTGCTCTACGGTGAGTATTTGACTTTCAGCTGAGCGTAGAAAATCGACAGAGAGCGGATCATTCTCAGACCAGCAATAGGAGACAGATTCTATTTGCATGCTGGAAGGAAAATTGATTCTTTTTATTTTTAATTATATTTTAATGGCACGCTTTCCATAATAAAAAAAATAAAATAAAAATTCCAGCATGTTTATTTTAGTGGGTTTTAGATGTTAACTAGTAGACTTAAGATATTATTTTAAGAAATAAGTTTTACGTTTGAAGCCAGAATTGAAATTTTTTTACATTTAAGATAGTTATTTTAATGGGTTTTTGAACTTTGTTTTGAAATTAAATTCCTTTTAAGTTTGGAATCATTATTATTATTTTTTTTGCTATATATTATATTGCAATTAAATTTTTATACTCACCTCTTCAATTTAAAGACATGTATATTCGCTCGATCCTGATCGCGTATTGTTGGCCGCCATGGGTAAACTTCATTCTGTGAGGATTTCGTCCATATGACGAAAAGATCTGCACTACAATTTACTGTTAAATGACGTGCAAGTTTACGCTCCGAAGGCCCTGGTATTATCACATGAAATATACGTGGATCCATATTACTAATTTTCTCAGGCCCTTGTGATCGAGCATTGGGTTTCTGCAAATACACCACCGTCAATTGATTCGTATTGTAGGCCAAGACGATGTGGGTACGTGTGAAAAACGCTGCACAAATGGCAAGAAAAACAGAAAACAATAAAACAAATTACTAAATGCAAAGCAGAAACAAGTGGAATTAATGCAAAAACAAGACAGAAAAAATAACAAACAAAAAATCAAACAAAACACACCAAAGTTGTAGCGAAATTAATTAACATTAATTGCATGTGAAACTGTGTGAATGCGGCGGCGCGCATGCTCATGAGCTTTGTATGAGCAAATGCAAATTTCTCCATTAATACCAATGGTGGCAATTAGATACATATGTACATATATATATGCAGACATATTATATATGAAAGAAAAGCCTATGCGTCGCACACCTGTTGCTTGTGACAATAACAAACTGATATACATATTTACAACGGTATATTTACATAGAGATAAGTCCACTTACCGTCGGTGATAACTTCCGACGCCAACTTGCCGACAAAATATTTCTCATAGACCATACGCAATATATCACCGGTCGCTGGATCCACCGAAATATGTGCAATTACACCATTGGTAAACAGCAAAAGCACCTGTGCTGCATCACGCCATTCTGTATGCACAATTTTAAAGTTTCGCAGCATTTCCTCCAGCCGTTTAATGTTATCCTTTAAACGACCTGGCGCCTTGCGGCTGTTCTTAAGCACCGTCACGCCGTTACGTCGTTCTGTGTAGTCACGCTTGGCAATTGCCATGAGCTCTGCATTTTGTTGTTGCACCTCCCGATTACGTGTGTAACGAAAGGCGCCAAGATCTGTTGATTTGATGCGAACCTCATCGCGTACACTCCACAGATGACACTCACCGAGGAGCGTCAGCATTGTTAGGGCTTTTGGCAGGCAGTTAGATTTTAATACCTTTTGTTTATATTAGTTGTATGAATTTCTTTAATTTCCTTCTTCGTCTAATTTCTCACATTACTTATCTTTGAGCGATTTACACCCATACACTCAATACACTACACACCGTTGTAGAACATGCAATTTCTTGTGGCGAATTAATATGCACAACGGGAATTTAACAAACCACAACTCTAGGGCATACAAATGCAAACATTAATGTGCTAATGTTATTCCAAACTTATTGCCAACAAACGGCGCCCGAAAGTTTGTGTGTTTGCGATTCTCACTGTTAACGTCGCTGCCAGCGTCACTGATAGCTTCCCGTGGAATTTGGCTAATTTATGAGCTGCAATAATACTACAAGATATACTTGCACATATGTATTCACAATTATTGTTAATTATGTAGTTAATTTTGCAAGCGTTGTTGTTGTGCTGCTGTTTACTGCATGCCTTTTATTGCCCTACTGATGCGCAAGTTTGCCTACGTCGTCGTTATTGACCTGTTGCTTCTGCGTAATGGAATTTTGTGCAATAAACATTTCACCAATCTTCATCTATCTCATTTCACTTTTATGCTATTTTCAATTATTCGGCATTTCGATTTGCAGTTTTACAACAAATGTATATTTATATTGATTAATAATTGTAATGTTAAAACTAATAACAATAAATAATTGCACACAAATTGACAATCAACAAAAACTTGTTGCTTAATTCCGATTTTAGTCTAATCAGAGATGGTAGAAATACTCAGAGTTGCATGCTGAAGTTGATACACTGAGAAAAATTTCTAAAGATCGACGCAAAAGACATGTAAAATACTTGATGATATAACTGTGTTTTCTTTTAGTGATACAAATGCTCTGGACATTTTCTCCCGACAGGGTTGTAGGTTTTGGCTGGAAAAAATCTAACTACCCTTACCCTCTGGTTCGAACTCAACGAAAAAGCCCGTTTCCCGGACCTAACGTTAGGGAAACATGTTGACATAGACTAGTGCCGCACGATCATTCTTTGGGCAGGCGAATCGCTGTAACAATATCAGCAGCCAGAACAGACGAGTTTATGTCGTGGAAGTACAATAGTTCCTGCAAAAGACGAGTCTTTGTATCCGGATTTTTCGACGACCTATTCCTGTATCTTTTCTATTTCTAAGGTTTGGGGTTGACAAATATTTCTGAGAATAAAACAATAACAATAAAAAAAAACTAGATCAATACCGTCACATGGAAGTAAAGATGCGAATATTTTCAAAATCTGTTTTATGGCAAGAAATATTTTATCTTGCAATTGCTTACTACCAGACCCATTTGTCTTGCTCCTCTCGATTCATATCAATATTATTACCACAGGAAAGATTTGTATACTCTCTCTGGGGCCAACCAAACACCCAATGGGATCAGACAACCGCTCCGTTGTTCTGAGGAGGCTAATCCAACCACAGGTTGACAGGAACTTGCTGCAACTAACAATGATGTACCTGTAACGTCAGAAACTACTCCCTTCAAGCGTGCGGTCTTAACAGCTGTATATATGTATATTCTTTCATGTGTAGGAAGCTATAATCTCAGCGGACCCATCTTAAAGTTGCTGGCTAAGCAAAATAGGGAATATAAGGATCGTTTAGAGCTGATCAGTCAGGTTGGCATTCCGGCTGGAGGTGTCATTGTATTCGACATCGATTACAAGATACTCATTCTTTGAATCCGTGTGGTTCTCGCTCTGAGTGGGCGGTTTAAGAGAGAATACGCTACCACTACCGGTCGAAACGGTTAATAAGTTATCTGTGGTAGAACCGTCAGACACGGGAAAGGAGAAGCGTGGATATCTTCCATCCGCTTAAGACTGGTAGGCATACTATGCTACAGTAACGCAGTATTACCAGCTGAAGTGGCATGTGAAGCTGGCAGTAAAACGCCCACCGAGCTTAAGCTATTTATCACGAGTGAAGATAGAAAGTTATTAAAAAAGAGTATAAAACGAGAAAAATCATGATCAAAGATTGTCGAGCCCCCACATAACGACTTTGAGTATATGGTGTGATTGGAAGGGGATTGCCCACTACAACCTGGCGAAAGAATAAATTCAGAGCTCTAATATCACCACCTTGCCAGCTCACTCTTCTAAAAACTGCCAAGAATTGATCAATAGAAAAGGTGTTGTGTAGCATCATGACAACGCCGGACCGCATACAACTTTTTTGACCTGCCGAAACTTGACTTGGTTGGCTAGTTGGCTAAGGCACCCACCATTCAGACTGGACTTTGAACAATCTGACAACCATTTGTTTCGTTCTCTGCAAAATCCTCTCGATGCTAAAAAATTTACTAACAACTAGATTGGAATTGGCAAAAGGCCTTTTGACTGACCTTTGATTAATATGTATCCAGTATCCAGTTCAAAAATATCTAAAAAAGCGTGAAAACTTTTATAATCATCAATATTATTATTCATCTCAATTCCAGTAAAACAAAATCCTGAATTAAAATATTTTATTTAAACAAAACTTTTATTTCAATTCAATATTCTTTTAATATTAGGTAAAATAAATCGTTTTACAAATTAATTCACAGATCTTTTATTCGTTTGAATTTTTTCGTACATTATAATATATTTCATTTCATTCATCAATTATATTATTTTTAAACAAAATATATATATATGTATGTATATTTAAAGCAAATTTTGCATTGAAGCAAACGCTTACGACACTAAAACAAGTAACATGAATATATTTATAAATGTATGTATATATTTTTTTAAAATCTATTTATATTTATAGTGTTTGTTACATAATTAAGGTATGTATATACATATATATATATATTTATATATATACGTATATAATATAATTACGTGTGGAAAAGTGTATTAGCGCAATCGAACATCTATCGCTAAAAAAAAAAAAAGAAGTAATAATAATGATATAAATAAAAGAAATTCAATTAGTGAAAAATCGAGCCCGCGCATGCGCAAAATTCAATTGGCGAAAGGCTTTACATTCTTCACTCTAATGATTTGCACTTAGTCTAACGGTGGCGTAGTGTGGCGCTAAATTACAGAAAATTCAAAATTAGAGTTTTACAAACATTATTTTTAGGTTATTTCAAAAAACACACTACAGTTATTTTTTTATTAACTTTAATGCACACTATATTTTTGGTGACAAAAAGATTTTAAAACTAAATGTAAATCCATTTATAAGTGTGTTTGTATTTAAGTATGCATTTAAAATATATATGTATTGTGTTTAACTTGAGTTTCCCAAAAACTACAATTGTGCTTTAAGGACTTTGTGGCATAGTAGTATTTAATAATTTCATTATCATTGCATTTCTTTATTTATATATATATTTTTTTACTTTTTTCAAAGGCGTTGCGATATTTTTTTAATGTTTTGTTAAGCTTCTATGTACATACGAGCATATACTAAATGACATTTGGACGACAATGACTTTACAAGAAACAAAATTGTAGACCTCCAGCGAGTTTGACGCCTAAAAGTATGTTTTTTTTGTAAACGAAGAACCGAGGTTTAAATGTATAAAATCGCCATTAAATTCATATTAAGGCAAAGAATTTACATTTTAAACCTTTTAAAGCGTAATTTTGCTTCGAAATTTTCGTTTTTTTTTTATTGGGAAAAAGAAAATATTTTTCACTTGCAGTTCATTTAGAACATATTTACAAAATATTAAGCCAAATTTTAGGCGCTCACTTGGTTTAAAATGCCTACAAAAGCACATAAGATCTTGAAGAAATTATATTAACATAAATTTTATCACACCTCTTTTTTTCGACTATATACTATTTACAAAGCAACTTACAAATACATATGTTTGTTTGTATGTATGTATTAATTTTAATTTTTTATTTTGCACTTCGCAGTTTTTTTTTTTTACTTTTTTTTTGTGCCAATGAAATACTTAAAGTCTACGAAATAATAGTATTTTTTGCATTTGTCATTATAACATTTTTGTATGAGCTACTTTGCAGTCTAACTTTAGAGCAGCCTTATTCATGGTTTCGTTTACGAATTTGGTTAAAACGTGTTATTTGTTTTTTTTTTTCTTTCGTATGTGTCTTACATGTGTAGTGACATTTCATTTAATTACTAAATATATAATTCTTAAAAATAATTACAATTTGCAATTTTCTTGTTTCATTGTTTCGAAAACAAATCTGCAGATTTTCTTTGTAAGTTAAAGCAAAAAATCCATTCATAATTACAATAATTAAAATGTATATGGCATGAGTAAGTATCTATGTATGTATGTACTAAATTTATATGTATGCATGTTTATGTGAGTGCATTTTTATAAATGTATAGCAATTTAAATGACTTACAATTAAATTAAAGTCACAGGTGAGGAAACTCAAAAATATGTAGCAAGTGTTTACAACTTCTGCCACTCAAAAGAATATATATATGTGTGTGGGCATGTGTGTATATAATAAACTACGTAGGTAGTACATCATACAATAACTCATATCAATAAAAAGAAAAATTATCAATTCGGCACTTAATTGTGAAAATAAAATAAAAAATAACTTCTAATTAACATTTAAAGTGGAATAATTTAATTATTAAACACTAAAATATTTGTTATGCATTTCACCATTCAAGGGTAGAGTTTTAGATGAGTTTCTCATACAAATGTGTGAGTGTTTGTGAGTGTATAAGCGTGAGTGCATACATTTTCAAAGTGCAAAGAGTTATATAATAGCTACAAGATCTATAAACAGTCTATAGATCTAAAAAAGAAAATTAAAATAAGAAAAGTAATGCAAAAATTTGAAGATTATTATTTAATCGAATCAAATCAAAATAAAACAGATAGTTTTTGCAAATATAAACCACCATATATTATTTGCATAAAAAATAGTTCGGTATCGATTATTGTTACTACTTAAGTCCATATGGCTCAAAAGTAGTTAAAAACAATTTAAGAGCTACTTCAAAAAAAAAAAAAAAATTAAAGAAAATTATAGAAAGGGATGTGAAAATTTTTCAAAAATTCAATTTGCATCCTGACACACAACGATTTACTATTACTTGAACTCTGAACTATTCAATAATAGTTTTATAATTCGTTGTTCGCTTAAGTTGCTTTTGTTAGGCTAGCGCTCTGCAACAGGCGCCTAAAAGCGTGCTTCAAATTATTTTTTGGTTTTTCTTTTATTGTATTATCATTTAACGCAACAAAGTTGCATAGTAACTTTGTAGCTAAAGAAAAAAAATTAATAAGTTTTTAATTAAAGCAAAACTATATACACACAAACGCTCACACCAATAAACACATACTACATACACAGACACGCTTACGTTGCAATTAATTTATTATCAACCGTAGTTAGCGCGTTTCTCTCTCTGAGTGTGTATGTGTGAGTGTGTTTGTACTAGCAGTCGTTCAACACGGCTTTATGTGTAGCCTTTAAGGAAAACAAATCTAGAAGTCGTAGAATTCATTGCTTTTATTATTAAATCGTCGTGTTAATACATAGACGACTCCTTCGTAGGTGGCCATCATAATGGCTGTGTTGGGTATTTGTCGCACCAATTGTGTCGCTAAGCCTCTGCAAAGATAAGATAAAATAAGGAAATGTAATTAATTCGTTAGTATTGTTAATAAATATATAAAAAAAAACCGTTATAATAATAAAGCATTATAATAAAAGTAACCAATAATAATAACAAAATTCATAAAAAAATAAATTTCGTCAAATTACGCAGATTAAAGTTTTATAATTTAATATGAATAAAATCGCCTGGTTTTATTGATTAAATATTATGGGAATAATGTCACATTTATTTTTTTATTTTAATTGAATGTCCGTCAAAGAGCTTTTGACTTAAGGTGAAAGTGCATGAAATAACTCAAAGCGCCTAAATATAGACAATGCATAAGTAGTATTAATAATTGTTATTATTATTATTTCATAAAATTAAGCAGATTAAAGTTTTATAATTTAATATGCATAAAAACGCCTGCTTTTATTGATTAAATATTATGCGAATAATGTCACATTTATTTTTAATGAATGTCCGTCAAATAGCTTTTGACTTAAGGTGAAAGTGCATGAAATAAGTCAAAGCGCCTAAATGTAGGCAATGAATAAGTAGTTTTACATTATGCATAAATTGTAGCCTACATTTGGGATGTTTTTTTAGAAGAGCTTTTTGAGCACTATTGCAAATATTTATTAATATTTTTTAATGACACATGTTTTTCCATTGAAAAGTTTCTGAATGATAAGAAAAAAAAGTTCAACAAATAGGGGCTTGTAGCTTATTCAAACCGCCTACAAACGGCGAATAAGTTTCTACACGTCATCTTAGACAAAACATTGAACCCGAGAATTAACATAGCTCAAAGACGCGAGAAAGCTTTTCTACCCCATCTGGGACAATTAAAATTGGATGGAAAAGTCGTTGGTATTATCTTCTTATGAATTGAACTGTCGTCCAACTTTAAAGGCGGTGAAAATACAAATCTGCGGGTCTAATAGTTCCTCGAAACAAGTTGGCAACATTCCCCAAAAACTACTTTGGGGAATATTTTTGCGGTTGCAACAACAAAAACAAATCCGAAAATCTCTCAAATGTATCCCTAGTAATAGGAACATAGAAGAAAACTGTATGGCAGACGAGCTTGCAGGGTAAGGGGAGTTTCCTGTATAAGAAAGATTGCTGAAGATTTAGGATAAATGTAAATTCACACTTTCGAGCTTTTTATTTCTATTTCCCATTCGAAATCGCATTACTTTGCATTCAAAAAAATAAAAAAACAAATAAATAAAATAATAAATTAATTAATTAAAGTTGAACCTAGTACATAATTTGGGGTTAGGTGGAGTGATTTTATAACGCATGAGACGATTGTGAAATATGTTTTCATAATTAAATAAAAACTCCTAAATGTAGGCAAAGATTTTTGGTATATCCCGCAGTTGTTTGTAAAAAATTGCCTACACTTAGGCGAATATATAATATTTTCAGCAGTCATACCGAAGCTTTAATAAATAAACGAAGGAAAAACCACTATTATTATTATTATATTATGTAAACGGGAAAACATAATTCAAAAATGATATAACCTTAAAATACAAAGCCTGTAAGTGAATATAAGATATATTTAAAATAAATTACTATATTTATAACTGACATCGTGTTAACCTAATTTTACAGTTACTGAACTGATTGCCCTGAAATAACATCCATTATTAACCGATTAAACTGAGTAAAAGCAGACGTAATTTTGAAAAAAAAAAAAAATTAATTCTCATGTGCATGCACTGTTTACATAACTCATAAACGAGCTGATTTGATATCTATTAAATTTCGCACATTGGTTATAATGGTTATAGATTGAGCATTATGTAAGAAGAAATCCGAAAAGAAAAATTATTTATCAAACCACTTAACGTGATTTAATCTCAAGCAAAAAAAAGGGTGAAAAGTCAGTTAAAGATTTTTCACGCAATGGTGGCGCTCAAAAAATCAACGTATAATGCGTCATTTCACAAAACAAAACAAAAAATTAAAAAAATGCAAAGCAAATAAATCAGTTAGGGACGCAAAAGAATTTAAATTTGACAGACGATGTGAAATGTGCGCTCATTGTTTTGTATTTGTTCAATATATGTACATATGTATGTACTCGTGCTTCATTGAGATAAGCAAATTAAAAATAGACACGGAATACGAATACAAGCAAATAAGCGCAGTGTGATCAGCCATTTAATATTTACATAAATATGTTGATGTGTATACGACTGTATGTATGACAGAAAATTTAAAGATTTTAAATAATAAGAAATAAGAAAATGCAATGCATTTCAGACAGAAAAACTGACGAAAATTTTTTTTAGATGTCTGAAGGTTTTAACTTAATATAAGTTGAAGTCTAAACCAGTTTTTTTTACGTGAAAAGGAAAATATCTTTCTCACTAAATACCCTACGCATTACATCTCTTAAAGCCAATCAACTAACCTGTAAAGTCCAGCTCGTCCCTCTTCCTTCCAGACGGTGTGCAGCGTTTGGAAAAATGTATTATATTTATTGCCCTCCTCACGCAGCCTTGTACGCGCCACCTCATGTGGGTAGGCAATACAAGATGCAACAGTCTTTGAAACAGCGCCAGCCATCATAAACTCTAGAAAATCCTTCGATGATTTCAGATCATCGTGATGTGTGTTATGCATTTCAATCTATAAAGAGAAAGAGACAAAGAGAGCGAGATAGAAATAAAAATTAATACATTTTTAATATAATTTTGTAGCACTCAAACTCAGCTAAGGCACTCCACAGAACGGCCAACGTAATCAAAGCACACTAAAGAAAGCACTCAGCTACTTACTCACCAATTTCGATTTGATAAACTCGTAAATGACAAAGTGCACCATTGTCTCACAGATGCCAAAATAGCTGGCGGTGATACCCTTATAGAAACCGGCAATACCGCCTTGTGCATAAACTCGATTGATACATTCGCGCACGGACATTTGCACTTTGGAATTGTAATCTAGCTGCAGACGCGTCTTAACAAACCAAATGGGATTGGTAAGAGAGGATGAGACGAAACCAGCGCTGGCAGCACTTAGTATGTGCACTTGCGGTGATTCGGTTTTTATGAAACTAGAAGAGAATCATTTAGAGAAAAAATAATTAATATTAACAAAGTTATTTAGTTAAAATGTTTACAATGAACTTTTACCATCGGTAAAATGTGAGAATCACTAAAATACACGTATTGTAAAAATGTCAAAAGTTGTGGCATGTGATTACGGCAAAACGTTGTTGTCTTAGGCAAAATACACGTATGTAGGTAGGTCGGGAAACCAATGAGCGAGAGTGAAACTCGTGCCAGCTACTTTATGGCTTATACGATTTTGGAGCGTCTTTTACGCCAACATCGTGCGCACCATTCGATAATGTAATATGCTCGAATATGTGTGCTCCAGTAGAGGTCAGAGAGTATACATATCTTTTCCCAGCACTAATGTCATGACTACTACACGCATCTATCGATTAAAAATTTTAATTTTCCTAACACTTGTGTTTTTTTTTGTTTTCAACAATTTACTTACATACAAAAGCACTTTTAGTCCGACGAATTTTTTTTATATATAACTCACCTTAAACTATTCAAAAAATTCTTTGTTTGTGAGTAGGTGCAAAAATATATCGCCCGTGAGGGTGCAACGCCAACGAGATTTGGTCCGAGACCTTTGAATAGAGCGCGTGGACCCTCATTTTGTACTATGTGTCTGTAAATATAAAGCAAAAAATTAGATAAAATTAGATTAAAAATGTTAAAACGAAGTAAAGAAAATAGAATATCAATTAAATTGAATAACAAACGATAAAATAAAAATTTAATGATATTAAATAAAAAAGATGTTCTGAAAAAATAAATAAATTTATCTATTCAAGAGAAATAAAATAAAAGAAAATCTTACAAAATTAAGTTAAAAAAAACGAGTCAACAAATATAGACAAAATTATATAAAATTAAAAAAAAATTTATTTATAAATATTTGCTATATGTATTTAGTACATAAAGAGTAAAAAAAATAAATAAATAGATTAAAAAAGTTATATAATATAATAATGTTAAATTAGAAAAATTTATCATAAATTATGAGATAAAAGGTAAATATATAAAAAAAATAACATTAAGTAAATAAAGTAAAACAAAAAAAAATTTTTTAATAAAATGTAGTAAAGTCAATTTAAAAAGAAGTCAATAAATATGAACAAAATTAAATAAAATTTAAAAAATTTTATCAATAAATATTTACTATATGAATTTAGTACATAAAAAGTAAAAATATAAATAAATAGATTAATAAAGTTATATATGATATAAAGTTAAATTAGAAAAAATTATCATCAATAAAAACATAAAAGGTAAATTTATAAAAAAAATAAATAGCATTAAGTAAATAAAGTAAAATAAAAAAAATTAAAATAAAATGTAATAAACTCAATTTAAAATAATGCATGTATAACCAAAAAAAAAAATTAACATTAAAAATGATGAAATAAAATATAATAAAATAAAATGAACTAAAATTAAATTCAAAATCAAAAAAAGTGCTTAAAAAAATACATATAAATAAAAAATTAAAATTAAAATAATTATTTTATATTAAAGTAAGATAAGATAAATTCAAATAAAATAAACTTGTAAGTAAAAACTATACAAAATTACAATTAAATACAATAAAAATCAAAGTTTTTATTTAATAAAAGTATAAAACAGTGAAATAAAAATAAATGTACAAATAAAATAAAGTAATTCATAAGATATTAAAAAAATTTAATTAAACAAAGTTAAATAATAAATAAAACACACATAAAAAATAATAATATCATAAAAATTTAAATTAAGTTAATTATGATAAAATAAAATATAACTTAAGATAAAATAATTGTATTCAAAAATATATACAAATATACTTTTTTTTGGAAACTTAATAAAGGAAAATAAAAAAAACCAAATTGAAATATATAAATAAAATAAAATATTTGGATAAAAACAATATTTTTTATAAAAGGATAATAAAAATTTCAAATATAAAATAAATTAAACTGAAATGAAATCAAAAATAAAATAAATTATCTTAAAAAAAAAATATAAAATAAAATATAATGGAATTATTTATAAAATAAAACTTTCTAAATTAATGCAGTAAAGTGAAATGTAGTAAAGTATAATAAGATTAAAAAAATAAAAAAATAATTAAAATAAATTAAGACAAGATGAAGGAAAATACTATTAAATAAAATAAAATTAAATTTAATATATATAAAAATGTATACAGAAGAAAATTATAATTATATCAAATTAAAATAATAAACCAAAGTATGGACAAAATTAAATAAAAAATAAACTACAATAAAAAAGCTAAAACAAAATAAATCATAGAATAAAAAAAGTTTGAAAGAAACAAAGAAATTACAGTTTATTATTTAAAAATTAAAAAAAAAAAGTAAAATATCATAAAATAATATTGAACGATCGAAAAAAATAATAATATCAAAAATACATATATACTATATATTTAATAAAAAAATAATAACAAAAATTGTTAAATTCTCCCTCTACTAGGAGTACATACTCACCTTAAGCACTGCATGATACTCATTGACTTTGTGGAGGTGGATGAGATGCCGCAATGTGAGATAGCCATGATCTGTTACAAAAATTAGAAGAATGAAAATATTAGTAAAACTTAATTATTAGAAAAAATTCATTATAAAAAACAGTTTTTTTTTATTAAATATTATACAAATTATGCATAAAATTGGTACTACCCTACGCACACCCCCAATCACCTGTGGCTGTGACCTCTTACGCAAAATGGTTGTGCTCAATTTACGCCGTTGTTCGGGCCGTAACAATTCGCTGGCGCCATTTGTAGAACCTGGCGGTTCTAGACGTGTCGGCCCGAGGAAAGAATTGGAACTTTGTAAACGTGTTTTAACCACTTCCAAGGGACAGGTGACGACAGCACCAACTGTGCCAGCAGTACTGGAAAATAAGCAAAAAAAAAATAAAAAATAAAAATACAATTAGAAATATGTAAAAGGGTATACATATGTATGCACATACACACACATATATATTTCAAAGAATAATAAATGTATGTATGAATGAAGGAAGCTAAGAGAAATTCAATTGATATTTATTTAACTCAGTTGGCAAAAAGTAACATAAATTCTTTGCATACTTATACAACATTGGCTTGTCGATGAGCAACCAATACCGAACGACATCCAGGCGCTTCAACGTCAGACTATATGCAATAAAGTTCGTTCAAATTCTCAGTTGGTGACGGTAAAACTTTTCCGACACTTTTTTATTTAACTTTATGTGCTTTGCTTTTAAAAGTACATACCATTTGTATGTGTACAGTTATAAATAACCCGTGCAATTGACGTGCGACTCATCATTAACGCCAACGCACTTGAGTGCCAAAAACAAAGGAGCAAAGAGGCATTTTGTCAAGCAAAACATTTATATTTAAACAAGTAGTTTGGTTAATAGTTTTAAGCAATTGCTGTGCAAAAACTGTCAACATTGAGTTAAAATAAAAAAATAATTAAAAAAGAAATAAAATAAAAAAATAAAAAATAAAGCGAAAAAATTGGAATTACCAGCAAATATTCGCTCATATTATTATGCAACTTCAGGGAAAAGGAAAGAAAAACACTTGATAAAAATGACAATGCGCTTATTTATTTTATATATATACATACATACATACTTTGGACATACATACATATGTGTATTAACATGTCCAATAAATTGTGTGAACCAGAGATTACAGCGCAAAAATCTGTAGCGACGCCTATAAAATTTATTACATAAAAAAATACATACATATGTATGTATACGATTTGCATTACAAATAAGAGAATATTCATGATGACAATCAGATTTTGTAAGCATTAAATTTTTGGCATCATATATTTCATTTTAATTATCAAAACGAAATTATTATGAAAATTAAATTGCATTATTAGAAAAATTTATGTTACGATATTAAAATGTGAAGACAAAATAATTTCGAAAACTGGTGTAACACAATATTTTATGTCAAAGCATTTCAAAAAAAAAAAAAAAAAAAAAAAAAAAAAAAAAAAAAAAAAAAATGGTACAACAAAAATTTTATGTCAAGGCATATAAAACATAAGTTAAAGGCAATCGTACTGAAAAATTAATTGCTAAACAAAAAATGGTTATGCCTAAATATTTATGTCGAAACTTTTTTGCGCAAAATATATATTGTTTCTTAGAAAAATTATTTTGGCAAAAAACATACCGAAATTTTATTAACCAAAAATATTTGTCAAGACATTTTTACCAACAATCTTAAATTTTTACATTTTTGCTGATGTAATGAATTTAATTTGTGACTTCGTATGATTTGTGGCGTTCATTTCTTATAAACTGAGAAAACAGTCATGACTTACTTTTTGATTGGTATCAAATTAATAGAGAGGAAAAATGAAATTAATGGATAGGAGAGATGAAAAACAGAATTTTTCTAAATTTTAAATTTTATGTGACAAAAACTCCAGAATTCTTGAAAATTTATTTCGCTAATAAACTTTATTTCATATGAGTTAAAATTTTATTTAATAAAAATTTTATGTCACGACGCACAAAAAATCGGTTGCAAGATATAAATATTTTTTATTTCAAACTTTAGATGACGCAATGACTTTAATTTATATAATTACAAAAGAAGGTTGATTTTAAATTGGCATTAAATTTCATTCCAAGTAAGCGAGAAATTTTACGACTTCATTTTTTATGTCAAGTATTTTTGTTGAAACCAAAAAATCGCAGACAAATATGTATGATTTTTTACAATGCATTTCAATTTGTAATAAAAAAACAAAGTCTCAAGCTTTATGGTGGTATGTCAAGGTACATATTTTTATGGCAAGCAAATTTGATTGTTTTTTTTTTTTGAGACTCTTAGAACAAAAAAGAAAAAAAAGTAAGAATTAAAAATATGCATATTTTATGAAATAAATTTCATATTAATTTTCTGGTAGAGAGTGATTTTTTAAAAGCTACTCGAAAGTTTAAAAAAAGCACGTAAAATTCAGAAAAACGCATGAAATCTTTATTAGAATCGATAGAGGGTCCATATTATTTGATGTTTGAAGATTATTTCATGGAAATATTGACCGTGAATGCTTCTCAAATGGTCCATCCTCTTAGTCCAATATTGGCATCTTCTTTCCAACATTTCGGCCGGTATCTCACGAATAAAAATGCTTCCATGTTGTCCTCCAATGCGTCAATTGAAGCGGACATAAAACTTAACATAGCTCCACAAAAAATAGTCTAAATGCGTTAAATTGCACGAGCTAGGTCCCTGAATGTGAAAAAAATGTTCACCGAACTCGCCTCTCAATAAGTCCATTGTTATGCGTGCTGTGTGGCATGTGGCACCGTGACTTTTTCTGGTTGCATTGGTAGCTCTTGCAACGCTTCTGGCTGATCTTCACTACAAAATCGAATATCCTGCTTACTTACGCACCCATTAAGCCGAAAAGGAGGTTCGTCGCTGAACACAATTTTTTTTTTTTTGATAATAAAATTCAATAATTTGCAAACGTTGTACCTTTGTAAGCAGATTCATGGTTAAGGGGCACAACTAGTGTAATGGCCTAAAAAAATGTTGTTTTTGGGAGTTTTTATTAAAAAAAATTCCTTTTCAATTATTTCAAAATTTTAAGAATATATTTATACATGTTTTAAGAATACACAGTGAAATTTTCGAAAAAAAAAATTAATTTTTTTTTAAGTTATAGTCAAACTCCAACGGCGCGAAAAAAAGATCCTCCACTGATACAGTGATTCCGGTTTTCTCCGTGGATGAAATCTAAAAAAAAATTCTCTACTAGATAATATTGTCTGTACAATGACCTACGATAAAAAAAATCAAAAATTCACAATATGGCGGCGTTTCAAAAAAAAATAGTCGAATGTTACCCAAAATTTTGGTCGTTTTTGGCCAGCCAAAATTCGATTTTTTGATCAAATCGAAAATCCATAGGTCATTGTACGGACTATAATATATGGAACATGTAAAAAAATCGATAGTGATCGGATCATTTGTTTTTGAGTAATCACTGCAGCTAATTCGGCTAATGAGACTCTCTAGCTGCCGAGCGGCTGCTCTTTAAATTGCTATAACTCAAAAACTCTTTGAGATATCGATTTGAAATTTTAATATGATATTTTTAAAGGTGTAATCTACCGAAATATTTTTTTTTTTAATTTCACACCAGCAGGCCTATTCTGTCGAGGTTACAAAATTTACTTAGGTATTAAAATTTACCATTCAGTTAAAATTTTGTTACCATTTCGTATTCTGAGCTCACTGTTACCCGGTAACAAACATAACTGCTGTTAGATTTTGTGTTGTAAGTTTGAGAAAAAATAAAAAACCAAAATGGATAGACATATTTTAGGCATTTGGATTCATTGGCGATGAAGAAAAAAGTGCCAAAAGCCGTATTTTAAAAAGTTTTCAAGACTAAAAAATAGCCCTTTAATTTGTAAGATAACGTTTTCATTCAGCTTTTTTTTGTTGTCCAAGCATATTTTCCATAATTACGTTGAAATATTTATGATTTAATAAACAAATTACTAAAACTTTTTAATTTTTTTTGTGCACCGTCTTCCATTTCGATGTGAATATTTTTCTTTTTACCTTATCAACTGGTAAATGTAATTTGAAATGGACGAAAAAAGCAGTGCTGCCAATTTTTTTCAAACATTGTAACCAGTTCGCCAGAATACCAAATTCAATTTCGGGTGTTAAAGAAAAGTAACAAAATTTACTTTACCGGTAACAATGAGAATAGGCCTGTAGGTGTGCCCCTTAATTTATAGACCAAACTGAAAATGCTTGACAGCGATACAAAACTCGAAACGTGCATAAGCTGTTTAAACCAGTGTTGCCAAAAAGATAATAGCTAAAAAAAAATCACCCTTTAGTATGAATTTTCATTATTTTAGCTATAAATCTGTAATGACCAGACATTTTCACTGCAAAAAAAAATATTTTTTAATACATATTGTTCCTTATTTAAATTTCGTTAAGGGTATCACAATTTGTTATTTTAGTAAAAATGTTTCCAATATTATACTATTCAAAAAAAAATGCATTCAGCGTCATTCAACTACTATCTACTCCCTCCCACAATCTTATCTGATATAAAGTCTATTTTTATCTTAATAAATAAAGCTTTATTTGTGACAATCGAAAAGAATCAAATAAAGAATCAGGTAAATATCAAAAAAACATGCAATGCAATTAGCGCAACTTGGCTCTGAGAAATTTTGAGTGGATAAAGACGATGAATGAAAAATAATCAAAAAAAATTAAAAGAAAAACAAGCAAATAAGCAATGAGTTGTCATTTATTGCACACAGTCGATATGTAGGTACATAAGTAAGTATATTTACATTTCTTAAATAAATAAATATAGTTTATTTGTTTGTACTTTACTCTCTGTTTATCTGCACTAGAGTAAACTGGAATGTGCAAAATGCACGGTTTGGTTTGATCAATAATAATAATAATAATAATAATAATAAAAAGAAAGTTCTAGCGCCATAAACTGAGTACAGTTGGCCAAAGGGAAGCGTAGAAATGAGGAAAGTTAAAGGAATAGTTATGGTCGGTATATTAAAAACAAGTCATAAATCAAAGCAGAACAGTTTTATTTGTGTATGCAAGGGTGTAAATATTTCTAATTAAAAATAAAAAAATAAATGAAACCAAAAATAGAATGAAAATTAACTAAATTAATGTGGAGAAATATGGATGAGTAAGACGCATATAAAGAGTTGAAATGTCTTAAAAAAAGTAAAGTAAAATAATAACGACTAAATAACACATGAATAAAAAATAAAAATTGGACAAATATATAATAAAATCAATAAATAAAAAAAAAAATTTTATTTAATAAAAAATATTTAAAAAAAATTAAAATATATAC